GGAGGTTCTAAACACGGTTTATGTATCGATGACTGAAGTCCTAATCAAATCATGGGGAGGAGAGGAGGGCAGGGAAGTCATTCTGCCCTTAACCTCAGTGCCTCTCAGTCTCTCTCCTCCCTTCTGACGGCCGCCTCGCTGGAGGGACGCGCAGCAAAGGCCTCCTACTTTAATGAGGAAAAATGTATCAATTTAGCTTTGGCCTGTGCGCAGATTGAGCGCCGGGTGGGTGAAGGTGCACTGAGTGAATCCTTTTTCCTAATCAAGGACGGTATCGAAGAGGATTGCGGTCTCTCTGGCTTCGTCTGTAAGAGTCAGCAGCAGCATTCCTCCCCGCAGCCCCCTCAGGGCCGGGAGCCTCTCGCTGCCTTCTGTTTCACCTCATCAGCAGAGTTCACGTGGGGGTCAGGTCCTGCCCCCTGACGCTGGATTCAATGCAATACCTCTCTGATATAGCCTCAGTGCTCAAGCCCTAAACACGGGAGAAAGAAAACATATGATAACTCGCTGATATTGATTCTTACCTGTGCTGTGTGGGGGGTCACCTCTTCCTTCCACTCAATATATACATTTCATAGAGGGGCTGATGTGTTTGCCCTTAGCTTAGTTATGTGATTTCTGCTGGTATTGTGTTGTAGTTATCTTTAAATTCAAAAATGTAATTAGCTCTTTATTTACTCACTCACTTACTGACTTACTGTACATTGTTTTTATTTATTAACTTATGTATATATTAATGTACAGTTCTTTGTAAGTACTACTTCAAATATACAAAACAATGTTAGCTTCCTTATTGTAAAGTTTTTTTGTTGATTAATACAAAAAATATTCGAATAAAATGGCATATCATTTGGTTGGGATTTGATTGCTGTGTTTGGATTTGTTAAAATGAGCTTTAGGAACTAGTTACGGGCATTTGTCACAATATATGACATTTTACTGACAATTAATTGCAGCCCAAAAGCGAACAAAAACATATTAAAGCATATATTGTACAGAACAACATTTATTATAAAAAGCCCAATAAAATCTGTTTTATAGAGACACATACAGCGCTCATTTTCAAATAATAAGCATTACAAACCGATAAAAATACAATATACCTTTACAAGCACAAAAGATGACATAAATATGGAGTTCAAGCAGATAACAAATATGCAACAAACACACATTCAAAAAAGAAATAGTACGTAATACAGCTTATAATATTGATCTGAATTTCAGAGACTTCAAATACAGCTAGTGGACCTTGATGGACAGAGCAAGTTCAAAATAGAATCTTTAAAAAAATAACATATATTTCTATATATTTTGCTTGTCCTTTAAAGACACTGCTTATATGTCAAACATCATGAATACAGCAAGACACTTTCCACAACACGTACACAATATGAGAATCACAGTATATACTGTATAAATCTGTATTTGGCTAACATACTGTATGTCAATATACCAAAATGTCATGGGATAGCAGAAAAAGAATGTCAAAAAACTTGTGACAAGCAACATTTTTATTCTGATAATTGTATTTATTCCTCCAACATCTGAATTGTTTCATTTAACTGGCTTGACTTACATTATTCTATATGGAGATACAAAGTAGTTCAAGCCCTCTGCAAGCGCAAGTCCCCCTGCCAGTGCTGTCGCTCAGAGAAAAGATACTAAAGCTTTCCTCCAGCATCTCCGTCTTCTGTAGCACCATAAACATCTCCAGCACGTTTTTTGTGTTTTCATAACATCTTTGTTGCATTATGATCACCGTTAGATGTAATGTAACATATTAGTCCTCCCACCCGACCATTTCCCTTCATTTTGATTCACTCTCCATCCAGCCTTTGATTGACTTTCAGCCTAAGTAAAGTGGATTTTAATGAGAGAATACATTAACTCCCTCTGGTCATGCTAACATAAATCAGCCTTTTCTTGCGGGATCAACTGCTGAGCTCATAACACCATGCTGAGAGAGTGTGAATAACCAAATGAGAGATTGCGGCTGTGGCAAACCGCTGGCAGCTCAGATGCATTGTTTTGTACCCCCCCCCCTTCACACCCTCCTCGAGTTTAAAAGAAGTTCAGGAAGGCAACAGAACGGAGCACTTATCAGCACCCAGGTCTGCTTGCTTATAGAAATATCCCTTTGTCAGGATCAATTAAACACATATCTCTGCTCAATTTCTATCGATTACTTCCTTCCATTTGGAAATGGGGAGACTCACATCTTTTCTTGCTGATGACCACTGAGAGTAGTTAGATTCAGTTAGCGTAGCCTGTAGAAACTCCTCACCTTGATTTACAAAGCACGGGATGTGACTCTAACATCACATCTATCTGCTTCTCTTTGTTGGTAATTGCACTCAGCTAAATAGGTTATGCTGAAATATCAATAAATTGCCATCAAATTAATGTCAATACCAAAGCTGTGGATGGTGCTAATTAAAACGCAAAAGGGATGAAAATGAAGTCAAGGCATTGCCCTGAATAATTGATAACGCAATTTATGATTTTTATGAAAGAGTGCCTTCTGTCTGCGATTTTGATGAGGCCTTAATTAGATGCATTGATGTGTCTCTCCGTGCCTGTAGTCAAACTCAAAACTCAAACACCATGATGGTTGTTGGGGTTTTTTAACGCCCTTAATTACACATTTTCAAATAACATTACCTCTGAATATCCACTTAAAATTGCACGGGTCCCAAAGAGGTGTTAGTGTGTAATTTTCATTAAAGGAGGCATTGTTAACTCAGAACCAATCAAGAGTCTGCTCCTCTTTAGGGTGGGATCAGGGACTTGAGCAAGCAGCATTAAGCAGCGTGATGCTTTTAGGTTGTGCTGCTACCCTGTGGAAGAATACAGAACTATTGTGTTGAATATGTCTCTATTTTCACTATACCCGTGTTTGAGAATTATACAATGCCGGCCAGTCAAGTGAGGTCAGGTCACCCGGTGCTAAAGTGTTAAACACGCATGAATGTGTAATGTTTATTGACTCAAGCAGATCAGAGTGATCCCGTGTTGATTTTGTACCTCCTCATCTATTAGCCTGGCTCGACCTTTGAGATAAATGAAGAGTGAGGGAAGCAGACTGATGAGGGGATTAGAAGTGGGCCGTAACAGGGAAGCAGGCCCATGGAGAAAAATGGACGGACTGTCGGCGGATAGATGAGGTGGGGGAGCATAATGACTGCTGTTTGTTATGATGTACTGAATCAGGTTCTCTTTGACAAAACAGTCCTTAGCACCTCTGTATTTATAGTGTCACCGGTCAGTCCATCCACAAAGGCAGGCTGATGATATGTGAGCGTGTTAGTGCCGTGAGGTGTCTGGGGCTCTGCTCTGGGACGACCCGCTCATCTGTCAGGCCCACGAGCTGAAGCGGTGCAGGGTTATGGGATCACAGGCTGGATTGTTGTGAACTTAAATCTCTGGAATGTTAGCCAGGCAAAAAAGAAAAATCCTATATCAGCTTTATTTTGCTGCCTAGATCAAAGTTATTCAGACAAAACTCACTGAAAAGAGACTCAAAACAACAACCTTTAGAACACAAAGTTGGAGTGTGTATTCAACTGTGGCTTAAGAGGTAGATTGCTCAGTCCATTTAACTGCTTTTTCATGTTTTTGATTTTCCTGAATAAGAAAGTTGTTCCAGTTTGTCTGATGTTGGGGGATACTCTTTGTTTAAACCAGAGGACCCAGATGTGGGCTGACATGTTTGGTTTTTCCCAGCAGTTAAACAGGTTCCTTTCTGAGGGGGATGGACTCCAGGCATTCCCCTTGTCTGAAAGGGGTGTCACACTGACTAGTGTAAATGGTCTTTAAATTGTTCCTGTGTTTCAGACTAAAAAGGCGGTTCCTGCTCTCCCTTTGCTTTTTTCCCTGCAAGGCTAAGGCATGTTGACAAATGAATTCAGAGGAAGCAGAGCTTTGTTTTTGACACATGGTAAAGCCAGCTACCCCTGTTGAAGCTCAGGGCGGAAGATAGCCTTTGTGAGGCCGACAAGGGGTCAACTTTACAAGATCCCCTCTAATGGCTAAAGGCTTAAAAATAGGTTTTAACAAGAATACTTCTTGTTAAAACTTCAAACCATGAAACAGCTGGATACAACCTTGTCTCTCAAACATCCTGGTGGTCCCTGGTGGTACAGTGTTCCTAGTAATATTCCAACCAGCCATAAAGATAAAAATGCCAATCCAAGTGAGATTAAAGGATAACCCTCATATTATTTAAGCCAGAAGCATCACTCCTAGTTTAAATAATGCTACAGAGGAATGTCAGATTGTTTTACAATTTTGCTTCTTTGTGTAAACATAGGAATTCTTTGAAAGTTTAAAGCAGTTTTAACTCACTTTCTCTTCGATTCCTGTATGTGAGAGACACAACCTGGAGCAATGATAAGCAAGTGTTGAAATCAAAGCAAACACATATAGGCTTATATCTGCATTGTAAGGGAAATCACATGTATTAATATCTATGTGATTATGTGTATAGTGCAAAGTTATTTAGTGTAGTTCTACTACTTCTGTCCAGCACAGCAGGCTGAATACTATGTGAACTGCATTGTGCAAGGGCAGCCTAACAACTGCTAATTAACTAAAGCCTTTTAAGTCCTTCCATTGTCCTATCATGTTTAACATTTGACTTTGCAAATTGAAAAGAGATGTTTGGATTTCCACAGGAAGGCTGCTCCCATTAAAAGTGCAATGTGAGCAGATGAATGGTCTGCAGTGCTCAGCAGCACTGTAAATGTATTGATCCCTGTTTTCTAAAGCCTAGCAGGGATGTATTTGATCCACAGAGTGGGAGACTTTATAATCATGGTGTGTGTTGCAATGAGGAACATTTATAAATACACCAATAAGCAGTTCATGCTGAAAACAATCAATTGCTAAATGGATTAAGTTAATTGACAGAAACTTTTAAAATAATTGTTTGTTGCAAAATGCATAATAAACTATTATTTCTTATTGTTATATTTATTTTAGTTTATTGTTTCTGTTCACAGACTTTGGTGATATTCCCCCTGTGGCAGCCCAGGACCTTGGCAACATCTTGAAGCAAGGCTTCCTGGAGAAGAAACGACGAGGTATAGCACCATATAGATACCAGCCATGGATGAAGTACTTTTATTTGATCTAGTAATGTGACTGTGTAGAAGAGAAGAAAAGGCCAAGACACTCTTTTGGCTCATAGTTAAAACTCCTTTAATCAGACAGCTATTGAATGGTTAAATCCTTAATACATAGACAATGCTCGTTCATGTTAAGATAGCGACGGATGTTGTTGACTACATAAGGACAATTTGAACCCGGGCAATTCATAAAATAGCATTTTAAAATATATTTTAACAAATTCTGCTCATATGAGTTACATTATTTTCCATTTGATCATCATGCACTTCTTTTTCTAGATCACAGTTTTTTCGGCTCCGAGTGGCAAAAGAGATGGTGTGTTCTGAACAATTCAATATTTTACTACTTTGGAAGTGATAAAGGTTTGTTTGAAATGCCAACCTACAGAAACATTACAGGCTCATAAGTTGAATCAGATAATATCAAACCACTGGCCCTCCTCCCATACAGATAAGCAGCAGAAGGGCTCCTTTCATATCATCGATTACAGCGTGCAGCTCGCCACCAACCTGAGGAAAGACTCCAAAAAAATGGCCTGCTTTGAGCTCTTTTGTCAAGGACGGCGGGTTTTTCAGGTTTGTAATCCCACAACAACCCTGTACAATTTACAAAATTAAAGAATGTTTAAATCCAAGTAAAGGAATATAATATGACACTATTTTTGAAATGGTTTTTAAGGCTGTATTAGTGGCTTTAAATAAAAAATGTCCTTTTTCTTAAGCAGAAATATCTAAAATCTCAATTACAGCCTTCCAATAAGTAACAAGTTGGTCCACTAGAGAGCACTGAGGGGATTTTTACACTTTAAAAGATTCCGCTTAGTACATATCTTTCTAACATTTATTTATTTAAAGAAATAACTGATTGGCTCCAGACCAAAATATTATACGATATGTGATGAGTCCCTTAAACGATTAATCGATCAACACGATACACGTATATATGTTTATTTGAATATATATTAGTACTTAAATATTTCGAATGGGTTAAAACGCATCATGAGGCCTTCATCTAAATTCATTTGGAAAGCATGTCTACATGCCACTATAGCAATCCTACTGTCTGATTATAACACATTTATCTCACAATTGATATGTCTCATTTAAATATTTTAGATCTGATCATTTCATAGCCATTTCAAAAGAGAACATTTATATGTGCTCTTTTCCTTCCTTATTAGGCAGCTTGGAAAAGAGCTGGTGTATTGAAGATTACATATCTGGACTTTTAGTTCCATATAAATGCACCCTTGGATGAGATGATAACTGCAGAATTCTTGCCACTGTTTCCCATTAGTTCACTGCCAGCAGTCATCAAGAGGCAAGGGAATGGGTGGACCAAATCCATTTTGTGCTTAGAGGTAAGCCAGCATCTCTTTGTCATTTCTTCCGCTACCTCCTGCATTGTCAGTTTTCAGGAAGTCTTTTTATTTTTCGCTTAAAGTTTTGTGTTTCCGTTTTGTGTGTCCTTATTGGAATCAAAGGTTTGAGGATCGGGGATATCGTGTTGTCCAGATTTCAAAGCCCTCTGAGACAAATATAAATTGGGTTTTATATAACATTTGCTTGAGTTGACTTTTTAAATGCTGCATAGGCTAATTGAAAAATACAGACAAATTAGTATCTTTTTTTCCCAGTTTTCCCCCAAAGTTTGCGTGCGTGTTTTCAGGGGGCAGAAAGGTCAGAAATGAAAGGGAGCCCTTTATCTTCCCCAACTCAGATGGAAACCACCCGATCCATCACTAACTGCACAGCCGAGTCCTGAATCTCCCCATTCGACGTGTCACCCACCATGTCATGTGCACCATCATGTAGCTCTAGTTCTCCCCCACCTCCCCCAACCGCTCCTCCTCTAACCCTCCTACCGAATTCCAACTTACAGGAAATTGATTGGTAGATGTTCTGGTTATCCTCCAGTGACATTGATTTCTGCTCGGCCGCTGCTGTACGGCAGAGGACCTGATACCCTGTGTTGCAGCGGCCAGTCGCCTGCAATGAGACGCCTCCTCCATCTGAGCCAGCAGTCGTGCTTTTGTCTCCTCTAAAATGGGCTCGGGGCCGGCCCACTGATTTGCGGGAAGTAACAGACACTCTGCAGTTTGTCTTACTTCCTTCCAGACCAGTTTTACTACAAAACGCAGTCTGAGCCAGAACATGTACATGATTATTATTACCGTCTTCACCGCCGGAAATAACCTGAAAACAAGATTAACTGACATCTTTTTAACATGCGTGTTCTTTTTTGTGGTCACTCATTTTTGGCATTTTGCTTTTATTTATTCTGAAAGTAGAGATACAGTTACAAAGTGCATATTTGTTTATTTAGCACATTTCAGTAACAAGAAAAGTCAAAGAGCTTTACATGAACATTAAAAGCATTAAGACATTGTAGAAACAAAACATACAACAAAAGGACATTTGGATACAACTAAAAACCGCCATTAAAGTGCTGAAAAGAATAGACGATAAAACAGATTTAGCTGCAATAGAAAAAAAACTAAGTACTAAAATACAATCTACAGTACAGGGGAGAGAAGGAGCGGTATCATACTGTACAACAAAAGATACAAATATATAGTATGTGTATTGATCAGAAATCCAACTAAACCGAAGAGCTATAGGAAAGCTGAGGAAGTCAATATGAAGCAAAAATGACAAACTTCTCTGGTTTGATTTTCCACAGTTCTTTGCGGTTTTAACTGTTGAAATAAACAGACAAAACATGCAATTTGCAAAACTGTTTTAACATATTGGAATTTCTCACTATGGTTACATTTTGACATCACTGAGGGTATAGATTAGAAAATAAGATTAAGAATTGCAAAATAAAATATAAAAAAGCTGTTACACACCAACAAGAATTGTTCCCTCTTTACTTAGCTGGAAGCACAGCATAGCAGAATCGGCGCAGCAGCGATATGTGTGTGAGTGTGTGTCTATTTTCTGTTTGAGAAAACAGAGGGTGAGAAAATGCAACTGGCACCGTTGTCGTGAAGATAAGCATTTCAACTGTTTCAAATATTCAGAATTGATAAATACTGAAAGGAAATCTAGTTCAAGACGTCACCGTGGGCTCTGGAAAACGGTAGTGGCCGTTTTTAACTACATCAGACTCTGCAATTAAATGCTTAAAAAATACCACTTTACAATAAGACTACCCTTATAAAGGGTTTACGAATAGTTTGTAATTAATGTATTAATTAGGTTGTGAACACTTTATAAATCATTAATAAGCTTTTATGAGACATGAGATAAACAGGGCAACTGTGACCGGTTGCTTGCCAAATAGTGAGCCCACATGTATCTGTACTGCTAAGCCTTACATTGGCTACTTAGCTTACTTCATCATCAGCCAGCATCCTTGGTATCTGTTGCTCACTGAGTTGATTCTCGCTAAGTAGCCAATATAAGGCTTAGTCAAAATAGTGCCAAATAGTGAGCCTGTGTTGATGTATGAAAACTATGTTAGAACTGGTTTATAAATGGTTCTTAATGATTAATAAAGTGTTTACAACCTAATTCATAACCTAATTATAAACCCTTTATGAATCCTTTAAGGGTAGTCTTATTGTAAAGTGGTACCAAAATATATAAACACTTTAAGAGATAATGAAATTACTCTAGTATTACAGGCAGAAATCAAGCCTCCAGGTCTCGCCATTGCTGCTATAAGGCACGTGTCCTAGTCTGTTGTGCAGCCAGGGCCATTGGACCATTTCTCTTACTTTACCCTGTAATGCATTTGTTCCACGCTGCGCTCTATCCTTACGCTAACGCCGCCCATCACGTTGTCTTTCCGTCCCTCATAGATCTCCGCTCCACCGCCATCCCTTGCGATGATGACGAGGAGGAGGAAGGTGAGGGGGAGGAAGAGGAGACCTATGATGACATTGATGGGTTGACCAGCCCTCAACCCGGTCCTTCCCAGGTTCATGGGCAGGAGACGGGGGAGGTCGAAGAGGAGGATGAGGATATCTACGAGGTGCTGCCAGGTATGAGGATGTGGTTACCTCGCAGGCAGACACACAAGCACGCACACACACAAACACAAACACACACACACACACACACACACACACACACACACACACACACACACACACACACACACACACACACACACACACACACACACACACACAAATAGACAGGACGGCTGCACACACCAACTCTCATGATACTCAGTCAGACAAATAGACACAGTCGCTCTGCCTCACACACACAAACCCGAGCCCTCAGGGATTTTTTTGCAACAAGAAAGATGTGTGATGATCTCTCCCCTGGCTGTGAAATTTGTGTTGCCAGCCAGGTACCTCCCTACCACCACAACACCCAGACTTATCACTCATTTTAAATCAAGCAACACTAATAAGCCTGTCAGGGCTGAGGTTGGTGCTGCAGAGTCACACAGGGCAGGAAGGGGAGACTCTCCTCACATCCACTGGAAACCAGCTTCCTCTGGTCTTATCTCACTGAGAGCCATCTGTTGAGAAACAGTTATGTTGTTGAAATCAGCGAGAGCCGGCTAGTGCCGAATGCTCTGTCATAGAACGTCCAATTAGCTAATGTTGCCAGGCAACAAATAGCCTACAATTCAATCCACTAAGCAGAGTTTTGGCAAAAATTGCCTAGCAACGGCAATTTAGTTGAAATGAAGTAAAAACGGCATCTCCCAGGGCTTAAAATAGTTGTGGAGCTCTTAATGTCACATATTTAATAGAAATTAGAGTTTGATTAAGATTGTTGCCAGATGAGTGCGAGTGTGTGAGTCCCTACTGACTCATGTGTCAGGGTGGCTACAAGATCCCGAGAAGGACAAAAGGGGTGATCTGATCTTCTCAGGGCCGTCGTCCATCACTCTTTCTATTAAATAAGATACATCAAGATTCTGTTTCACTCTGTGAGTACATTACCTTTGCCAAAATCACTGGTGAGAGGGAAATCAGTCTTCAGACTGTCACGCCGGCGTTCAAAGCCATCTGGGAAGAGGTACAGACTCTGACCACAGATGGCATATCGAATGACAGGCTCTTTCCTTCACTTTCTCACCCCTTCACTTATCAATCATTCTGCATCTCTCTTTGCACACTTACAGCTTGTAATGTACAGAGTGATTTTATTTTCATTGATCATGATTGCAAATTACAAACTTTTGTATCTATTCTATCTCCTTTTTATAAACAAATATAAGTATTCATAGTAGTCCTTGAAATTACTGTATTTTGTTGGACTTCATTCAGAATCATAAACAGGTTTATTAACAAGTAAGTTTACACATACAAGGAATTCGCTTTGGTGTATGATAAAGAACAATTACATATTTATAAAAACTATTTTAGAAACTCTTATACAAAAAGATAAAATATTTAAGGATTAGGTCTTTATTTTAATCATCATATGAAGGTTTAAAATAACTATGCAAAACTTGTTGTAAAAAATAATAAAGTCACACAAGTTACGGTATATATTAAAATAATATTCACCCAACAAAAAATAGGCCATGGATATCAACAAAGGGAACAACACCTGATTTAAGAATTCACATGTATGCTCTGTAGGTCAAAAAGGGATTTAAAAGGATTACAAATAATTAGCTTATCTTTATTTTCAAGCGTCTTCGGATTTTTGCCAGTTTCCCAATCTTAGTATTAACTTGATTGTTGCCGAGGACAATAGTATATGGACCTGGTGCAGTGTCATTGATCGGTTCTAAATAAAAGACATATGGATATCCGGGTAGTTAACATTAGATATCTGGAGAATCTTAAGAATTTGCAAATTGCTCTCTTTCAGATACATCTTGCATGTTCATAAGGAAAACTCGTGAAAAAATGTAGTGTACGAGTAAAGTATCATTTTCCCTGTGATGAGCTCTCTCAGTTTTGACGAGGCAAAACTCCGTACATGGCTCAGTTGCAGGCAGAATGCAGAGTGATGGTGGTATTGGCTCTGGTGCTGATGACTGATTTTATTGACTGGAAAATTAAATCACTTTGATATAGAAACCGTTGGCCCATGGCGGTGGCCTCTCGACTGAGGGATGCTCTCCTGCACAGCAGTCGCAGAGCGCTGAACAAATGTTTAGATCCTGTGAAAAATACAAATCAATTAATTCCTTATTTTGGTGTGGTAACAATGCAGGACATTTACATATTTCATTAGGTAAAACCACAACCCTGAGATTTTTAATGATATAATTTTGTGATTTGAAAAAGATACGTGTGTGTGTGTGTGTGTGTGTGTGTGTGTGTGTGTGTGTGTGTGTGTGTGTGTGTGTGTGTGTGTGTGTGTGTGTGTGTGTGTGTGTGTGTGTGTGTGTGTGTGTGTGTGTGTGTGTGTGTGTGTGTGTGGTGTGTGTGTGTGTGTGTGTGTGTGTGTGTGTGTGTGTGTGTGTGTGTGTGTGTGTGTGTGTGTGTGTGTGGTGTGTGTGTGTGTGTGTGTGTGTGTGTGTGTGTGTGTGTGTGTGTGTGTGTGTGTGTGTGTGTGTGTGTGTGTGTGTGTGTGTGTGTGTGTGTGTGTGTGTGTGTGTGTGTGCGCGCGCGCGTGCGTGTCTTCCTGGTCTTCCTGGAAGCAGAGGCGCAGGTTGTGCTGGGAGGTGGATAGTGTTGCTGGGTTGTGGCTGCGTGGCTGTCAGCCTGCTGCTGTTACGGATGGATGTGGGAGACAGAGGGCAGGATATCAGTGTGTCACCTCTCAGACCACCGGGGGCCACGCCCTGCAGTCGATGACACGTCCGCCTCTGCGTGCCTTAAAGACAGCCTCTTTCTTTAACTTTTCTTCGCTCAGTCTCTGATAAATGTGAACAAATTGATTCCTCACTATTGAGTTCTATCTTGTTAAAGAAAAATAGTCATCTTGTGCCACGAGGCGGTGTGTCAGTCATTGGCTGATGATACATTGAATTTCTTTTTTGTGTACAAAATGTACAGTTATGGTTCTCATTATTACTTTACTTTTTCCACCCTTGTTAAATAATTAGATTGAAATGTTTGGGTCCTGTTATCTGGTTGATAAATGCTTCCTGCTAAAACTGCAACTATTAATTGATCAACAGAAAAAATAGCCTCCAAGTATTTCCGTAAATTATTAATTTTGTTTAATAAAGTAATTAATCATGCAAACATGGCACAAAATGCTGTTTTCAGCCTCTCAAATATGGAGATTTTCTGCTTTATTATAACATATGACTTATTAAGTATAACATATTTGTCTTTGAAACAATGGGAATAATGTTATTCTCTTTTTTTCTGGCATTTTAAAGATCAAGGAGGCATCGATTAATCTAGAAGATAATTGGTCAATAAATCAATAATAAAAATAATAGTTAGTTGTAGCCGCACTTCCTGCTTATAAGTCAAACAAGTATAAATGTCTCACAAACATCATTTTGTATTTTTGTTTATTTAGATGAGGACTTTCCAGATCCGACAGATGAAAGCAGTGAGAAGAACAACAAATCAGGTCAGAGCCTCATCACAGTCTTTCACATTCCCAGCTTAATAGTTTGAAGCGGGTAGAAATTGTTATTTAAATTCACGCTGTGCATTTCCCCTCGGCCTGGTCATCAGATTACGCTAACTACTACCAAGGTTTATGGGATTGCCTGCCTGACGAGCCGGACGAGCTGAGCTTCCAGAGAGGAGATCTCATCTACATCATTAGCAAGGTCAGCAAAAAACACTCAGAGAGGTTAAGCAAACATCTCTCAGAATTCTGTTGTTTCTGGACACGCTTTCCCCCAGTCAGTGGAAACGGGAGATCACTGTTCTGCCGTTCATCTTTTAACGGGAACCATTCCTGACTCGTAGACATAATTACAAGAGCAATTAGTAATTTGCAATGAGTCAAATGTGTTGCAGCTGGGTAGAATATGTGATTATTAAAGTGTTAAACAACATCAATACCAGTAATCACGTTGGCCTCATTTACTTTCCGAACATGCTGATATCCCCAACATCTAAATTCCTCTGTTAGTGTGTCGGTGCAGCAGAGAAGCACCAACAGTGGCATTGTCTATTCCCGGGCCACTAGGGTGAAGTGCCATTCGGGCGCTGCGTAATGGTGCTGTTGTTCATTATAGAGCCTCTATCACAGGGGTTAATTGAGTAGGCAGCCATGCGAAGCCCTTCCTTCCTGTTTGACATAAACTGCAGGTGAAGCCATCCAGCATCTCAGCTCTTTTTCTCTCAATCTATTTCCTCGTGTTTTATGGCCATCTTGTAGTTACATGCAGAGTATCTACCAGTGAAAAGCCACCCTACTGGAAATCAATGGCTTGTAATTTGGGCACTTTTTACTCTGCTGCGTGCAGGGACTTGTTTCTATTGGTCGGCTTGAAATTGAATCATCATGTTCTGTGTTTAGGCTGAATTATCTGAAGAGCGGAGGGAGGAAGAACTTACAGTAGATGCAGCTTTTTGTTGGTAATTATGCAGTGCAAAAGGGATTGAGAAATGATGTATTCAAGCCCATTATTTCTTGCATCTTTAATCAGCAGCTGCAGCGAGAGAAATACAATTATTTGTGATATTTTCTTGTTTTAGAGCAGAAACAATAATGCCCTTACTTTTTTAAGAAGTAAAGGTTTGGGGTATAGATAGACAAACAAACAGAGTCAGTTTGTGTTAAAGGAAATGGAGCCTTTTCTTTGTAAGGGCAGATATGGCACAGGTGAATTATGCTCTTCACAGAAGATGGACTTTTAATTGAGGTTCTCTTGGCAGTGCCAGATGAATGAGATGCCAGCCTTCTCTGTCTGAGCGTGCTGGTTGATAGGGGAAAATGTCAAAACAGCCATGTCCATTTTTCACGTAAGGATGACAAAGGCAGCCGAGGTTGGGAAACAAAGGGAACCTGGCTCTGAGCGACAGATCCGCCTCAAACTGCCTCAGCCCTGCCCGCCGTATTACTTTTCACTGTATGGATCAGATTACTGCTTCACGGAAGACCTTAAAGCAAACTAAGTCCAGGTTGGAAGCAAGACCCGGTAGAAGGACCTCACAAACTTAATGGCACAGATTACTCTTGTTTTGTCAAGCTGTACGCTGAAGTCATAACATAGTGACAGACTACGAGAGAGTATTCTAACTATCCTCTAATGGATTTAAAGCGAGGGGCTGGTTGTAAATTATTTAGAGGTGATCTCCGGACGGCTTCCGAATGGTTTTGTGTGAAGACACGACTCCATCCGTGTCCCATTTTGTGTCCTAAAAGCGTCAAATTTCCTCCATGAATAGCATTATTTGGATTATAGCCTGTAATCGGCTATTTATTTTAATGAGCCCTTGGGGAGGGCTTCCCTGCGTCTTTCGTGCAGGCCCCCAGTTGCGTTCAGTTTTACGGGGGGATTCCTGAGAACCCTGACCTCGGTGAGTGAAATACGGGCCCTTGGCTAGAACTCAAGTCTGTCGCTTAACTGGGGACCCAGACACATGAAATGGCCGTAATAAAACCAGGGCCCATAAATTCTCTTAGAGGGTGGGAGTCCTGGTTGTCTGTGCTGTTATGTCAACACTGACCATAATTACAAGGTAATAAGGACACGCTCTAAGTGCTAAATCAATGGTGCTAACAAACTGTTATTTTTAAAGCTGCGATGTGATTGACTGCTGAAGTGCAGAATGGGATAGCCACAGGCGTGGTGTCATATGGCTGTGAACTGAGGAGAACATGCCGATTGTATAAAAGGCCCTCATCCATCATTATTGATCTCTCACTTACTGTAAAGTGGGGGCATTTTTACTGTATTTGTGTTTTTTTCTCCCTTGTGTGTTGCTGTGTCTGTGCATATCTGTGTATCACTGACAAAGTAAATAAATTAGGAACCTCACAACTCATATGAATCCCATTAGTTCAAGAGAATTAATCTCGTAGTGCGAGCCGCCGCCGGTTGCAGTGATGCCTAACTTGCTTTCCGCAGAGAGCTGTATGGCGATGCTCAGCGCGCTGATACATGAGGTAGAAACACACCGTTAGATCCATCTTCTGAGTTTTGCTCTGGCATTTCATTTCTGAGAGCTTGCATTTTTCTAATGCACATTATAGCTTTACGCCGGCATTTTAGTGTGTGGTGACAAATATTGGTGAGCTCGGTTTTCTGCAATATCACACTCTCGCACACTGGCACATTTTTTAAACTTGATTTAAAAATGTTGAGATGTTGCGCACACATATTTTCACTGTATCATAACTTGCAGCAAGATATTTGTTTTAGTATTTACAATGTGAGTGTCAGGTTAATTTATTGCAGTGGCTTAAGGCTGTTGTTTCACTTCTCCCTGACACGTGTAATGCCTGTGTACTTTGTCGGCCACACTGAACCATAAGGCTGTCCCTGCATTCTTGCCCTCTAATTTATGTGTCCAGAATCAAAAGACATGGGCTCTACAGGTCAGCTGTCAAATTCCTGTATTCCCAAAGGCACTCATGGAGAACGGCGGGATGGAGTGGGAAGAGATTTATGGCACAAACCCATCCAGGGTCCTTAAAACTCTGGCAGGCGCTGCTGCCACCTCTTCCTCTTTCTCTCCATTGCCCTGCTCAACTCTCCCCCCTCTACCCTGGCGTCCAACCAAAACGCAGAGAGAAGGAGACGGTACAGCCAATCCGCTGCGTCTCCCAAAGCAGAGCGCCACATCACATTTTGCCTAAGTGTCCAGCTGCAGCTGCTTCTTAAGAGACAATGAGAACATGGACACCACTGACACCTTGTGGTGGTTCCTATCAATCCTATGTCTTTGCCATGATTTTATTACATGACAACTTGTAAAAACAACAAAAACTGATTTACAGCCTTATAGATTTACTGACTGTGATTTATAGCCTTGTATAAATACAAGTTATCATTCAACAAATAGCAATAAGAGATTCTAAAACTCATTTTGTGCTAATATTCTGTCCAGGCTACCTGCGATATTTAGGGTCATAACAGGCTTCTTCTCTGTTTAACACGCTGGTTGTTTGGGCCACGGCTCCCAGGTCACTCTGACTGAATGCAGCCGAAGAAAAGGAAAAGTGGGCAAACAATCAGATGGGAAAGTCAAGCAAGAGAGACAAAGAGGGTGGATCCCTTTATTCTTTTGTGTGAACCCTGTCCCCCCTCTCCTTTCTCCTTTTCTCTGTCACACACCCATTTAAAGACCCCTGGCTGCTATTGTGGCCATAGACACCAAGACGCTATAGACAGGCAAGACATCCTATTTACCACCCAAAGAAGCAGGGGGTGAGTCTGGGGTTTGGGGTCATGCAGGAGGCAGCGGTCATCCCCCGGTCAACTACAGTAGGTCATTATTCAGCCCAAGCCAATAGCCCAGAACTGCGTCCGAGCAACCCACCCCCAATCCATTCTGCTTAATTATTATAAATGAGGGGCGGCGTAAACAGCCATCATTACAGACACTCAGTGGCATACACAAATCCACTTTAAATTGCTATTAAGTTAAGGAGCTATCTGTAATCCCAGGCGTGCATTAGAAAGGAGCAAGTAGGTTTTCTTTTTATTAAATCTCATCGTCCCTGAGATATTTTCTAACGTTCTCATGCTCTGTCATGTTTCCAATTTGAAGCCAATTCACTGATTTAATTAAAAGCCCACTTGGAAAAAAATGGACACTAAGTAGCCATTTCGATCTTTGGTTGTGCAGAATTATCGTCCATATTTCTGGATGGATTTCGACAATATTTCTTTTGGCACAGAGTCCTTATAACTGCACCAAACGAAGGGTTTCCCCCAACAGTTTCAGGTATTATCATGTTGCTTGTGAGGTGTAACCTGTGTGAGTAGGGAGGAGATCTCGCTAACCTAATAGCGGGTTACAAATAAAGCAGCTTTGCGTCCATGTTTCTTTGTTAGAGTAACTAGTGATGGAAGAACTGCAGAGAGCTGCAGTTCATCTGATGAGTCTAGGTAGAGGAGTAGGAAATGCAACAAAACAGCGAGGATGCAACTGGAAAGGCTGCTACAGGAGAGATGGAAAGAAAGCAAGGGGAGGAAAGGAGGGAGGGGGTTGGAGATGGGGAAGGAGGCAGGGAGGGAGGGAGGGAGAGATTGTAACACCCAGGCGGCGGGTTCAGCGGCAGGGCAATGAGAGACTTCCTGCGCTCCATCACGCCCAAGGCCTGCCTCAGTCAGCTGGTGGCCGAGGAAAGATGCCTCATGTGTCAGGCTTATTAGCACTCCCCCTAGTTTGTATGCATTTGGGATTCTGTGTGTGTGTGTGTGTGTGTGTCTTTGTGTGTGTGGTTAATCTGCAAGCATGTGTGTGTGTGTGTGAGAACAAGATGAGAAGAGGGAAAGAAAAGGACATGGACCCTGAATCTCTACAGATTTTGTATTCCCCCCCCCGAAAAAACTAAATGTGCATTTATTTTTTGACATGTTTTTTTTGGTACACGTTAGCATCACCCGTCTCACCCGTTGTCTTTTTACCGCATCCACCCAACCTAGACTCACCTTCTCCTCGCTTCAGGCTCGGGTAGCTGTCAATCTGTCCTCCGGTCGGGTACATGAGCGATGGGCCTATCAGAATGCCACCATTAGCCAGCCCCCTGAGTGGTAAATAAACGATCGCGCCGGTACACTGCAGGTGTTGTCATGGCAACCCGCTCTCAGTGCCAGCCCCGCCCACGCCTCATTCCCCCGCTCTCTCGGCGGAGGAGTCACCGGGAGGTCAACGAGTCAACGCGCCGCAGCCGCCACGACACGGCGCTGTTTGCCCCCCCCCTCCCCTTCCTCCCTCCTAGAGTGGGTCTGATCTGCATCCAGGTTGCAGCAAACAGCGGCTCTGATATTTGTCACCCATCACCCTGTGCATCTTGCAACATATTACTAATGAGAAAAAAAACTGAGACATTTCCCTGAACCCAGGGGACGCTTGATTTACATCACCCCAGAGAATTTAGGAGGGAACATCTTCCCTCTCAGACGAAAAACTAATACAACTCGCCAATATGTGCCTGTTCTTTGCCCAGACCTTAGCATTAAGATGCAAAATCACACAAAAACAAATCAACCCTAAGAACATTGAGGGGAAAACAAACAGAAGGAAGAGGACATTGAGGAGTTTGCATAGTTTTTGTCATTTGGATAATTTACTCTCCCCGCCTCTTGGAATGTCCCTATTACAGCAGGTGTACTCTGGATGAACCCATTTCAAGTATGAGGAAGATGGACTCTGCACGCCTGACAGACTTCCACCGCCATTGGCACCCACTCTGTGATGTAGCAGTTGTATTAAAATGGCGGCGCTGATAATCCAAAAGACCTTTCTCAGGGAGAATTTGAGACCGACTGCACAGATGGGCTGCGGAGATAAATAAAACTCTCTGTCACTATGGTTGGTGGAATAGTGCTGCGACGCCCCCAAGGGAGAGAAAAACTGTTTCGCTCCCTCTCTCCTATGCCTCCCCTCCGTCCGTCTGTCCCCCCCTTCCTCCTCCTCTGTTCACGTTATCCAGAATTGGAACCAAAGCCAGCTTTCCGCAACTGGGCTTTTCCCTCTACAGTCTTTTGGGGAGCATAAAAAGACCATTTCGGACTTAACTTTCCCCTGCTTTATGAGCCCAACACAGTCACTCAGAGTTTGTCAGAGTGCCAAGCACACTGGAGCATCCCAGTGTGAGCTGTCAGCGAGGCTCGTAGGGGAAAACGATGAGGCCTGGATGGACAATCTGCTTATTGCGGGTACCTGTTTGTGCCGTAAGAACACTTGAGTCTTGTGGTTTATTACTTTCTAAGCAATCCATTCATCGTCGCTGTCCAAACACCTCTCATTAGCTGCAGGCCTCATTCCTCTGGACGGAGGGAGGTGGCAGGTCTGGGTGATGGGCTGAACCATTGACAAAATGTCGTTCATCATGTCAAAGTATGTGTGTGTTTTCACAGCTAGAGCCTGTTAGAGCAGGAAGAAAAGTCTGATTCTAATCTCAGACGTGTACAACTTTATACGTTACATGTGTCTGCTCGCACGCACATTGTGTGTGCATGTGTAGCTGAGCGTTTCATCTGCTCCTCAGTGCCGAGACAAACTGTTCACGCAGCCATTTTCAATCTGCTGGAGAACAGAGGAGAGATGAGTGGCTGTCGTTCCATCAGGGCAGGAAAATTAGGGCCGGCTGGTGCCTCCTCTGCTGCGACTGCTGGGCTCCTACGCCCTTCTGCTCTCTGGTCAAATATTGATCCAGTACATCTAGTTAGAGCCCAACTGCTGCAATCAGATGATCATGAGGTTATTAATGACACTCAAATTCCTAAAATGTAATAATGAATGAAAGATTTTGTTATTCCAGTTTTACAATAGGTAAGAGCTGGAAGGAAATAAAGATTTTGGATGCAGAGCCATGGAAGCCATAGAAATGACCTGTAAAATATCTGCTTTTTTTAAATTCCTAATGGGCCTTAGAAAGAATATTTACACCATACAAATAATGTATTGATTTTTCTAACCTAATAAGCAATTACTTTTCTATTATTAGGTGAGTAGACAATTGATCAAACATGGATAAATGACACAATCCAACCCCAATACAATTACATGGATTTAGAAACTTTCAAAATACAAGTGTAAATTGTAAAAAACACCTTAGTCAGCCAACAGTAATTAGAAAGTATATAAAGCCTCTATTTAAAAGAGGGCCTTTTATTTTGAAGGTCTAATTTGAGAGCAGCTCACTGTCTCTTAATATCTTGTAGGATACATAGCAGGAGCTTTTGTCGTTGTTCTTCACTACGCAAACAAAGGGAGGTGGCATTATATTTTGAATGACAAGAAATTATTTTGTTTTAATTTTTGAATTTAGTCATAAAATAAATGCTTTGTTGTTTTATGCCCCTGTCATTTATACTATGAAATGTCCAAGTTTATTGCAAATGCCCACAAGGAGTTAGAAATAAATGATTTGCAAAGCTGCTTGTTTCATCTTATGGCCTAAAGGTATTCAACTTTTGTTGAAATGAAAATAATGTAATAACTAAACTTAGATTGAGGTATTATTTTTAAGTCATCTCTTTAATGTTACAAACCATTACATCTTGTTTTTCTCTTTGTAAATGGAAGACTCCAGTTTCCTGTTTCTTTTTTAACTACAGTGCAGAATTAAAGCCTTGTATAATTAGTCTGGGAAAACGGGCCGGCTGTTGTTATCGTTATTAAGCAGTTCAAATAAATAGCAGTTTATTTTAGATACACGCTGTCTCAATAGTCTTGTTTACCTTTTTCTCCCATTTATTTTTGATTTTTATGAAAACCCTCCAGGCTAATACACCGGCAGTGCTTATTAGATATATATTGTGCATTGTTCTTCTTCGGGTGATATTGAGACTCTCTTGGATTTCCTTTGCCGAAGTCGAGTTAATACAATTTTAACATTATTATTTTTGTATCGACTGTACGGTAACCGAGCCACATTTAGGTGGAGTCCAAATCTTTCGAATGGTTGTTCTAATGTTAATAACATGAGACAAACGCTTCACTCGCATCAAATAGAAATGTGAGATTGGTGCTTAATCCTGCTTTGTTTACCTGTCCTTGAGCCCCTGAGGAGACTTATGGTTTGCTTTTATTGTTTTTTTGGGTCCAGGAGTACAATATTCACGGCTGGTGGGTTGGCGAGCTGAACGGCGCTGTGGGGATCGTCCCCAAGGACTTCATGCACCCTGCCTACATCCTCTGAGCTCCAACAGGTACCGAGGCACTCTCTTATCATCAGCATTATGGACCATTACTGTGGCCTAATACACAAAAACGGTCCCCCTGGTACTCATCGAGATTGCCATTGAGGTATATTCAGTCGTTGACCTGCCATTTATGGCATCTGCTGGCTGGAAGAAGTACTGCGTGAAGCAATCTTAACGGGCAATGGGTGTGAATAAATATGTGCAACAAAAGCATGATTACAGCGCCGGTTGTCCTATTTAAGAAAATGATTCCCGAATACTGTTAGATAGGCACAGCTAAAAATGAATACTGAATTATTAATGCATGTTTCTCTGATGGTGTGTTTATTTGTTTTTATTTTACAGCACTGTTGCTGACGCTGGCCATACGTTTCAGAGTCGGCCCCTTCACATTATCTATTGTTATTTGAAAAGTATTTTCTCTCATAAGACTAAGTTATATCATGAGGATGTGCTGCCGTAGTACTTATTCCTGTACACTTAAAATCACTTATAAACGTTTTTCCTTCAACATTAATGTTCAAACTCAAGCTAAAACAAGTTGACCAATCAGTTTGTCAATGAACAGAAAATTAAGCGGCACACATTTTGATTGAAGTAAATTATAAGGAAAAGCAAATTTGTTTTATATAATTATGAATGTAATATATTTGTGTTGTTGTACTACAGATGGGACAAAGAAAATAAGTTTTGAGTTTACATTGGGCTCTGTTAAATTGGGATTTTTCATAAACTTAATAAAATGATCTGAAAAATAACTAAATGAAAAGAAGTGTTAGCTCTAGTGATAATTGTTTTTTTGTTTGTCATTTATCAAGAAAAGCTCCTAAAATGTCAGTTTTCTTTGATTTATATCAGTATAACTTTTATATATTTGTGATTTTGACCGCCGGTTTGGCATAAAAGTAATTAAAAGCAATCATTGGGATCTTTTAATGGGGATGTTTTTCATATACTAAACAGTTATTTATCACAGTGGTAAATACAAATTAAAATAATTGTTGGATGCAGTCCTGAATACTAATGTATCAATTAACTGTTTAAATTGAGAACTGTGTAGATTGTTGTTTCTCATTTTTCGGATAGAGGTTAAAAAAATATCAGCGGATGTGATGTACAATATGAATAATATTTTAAATACATTGTACCCAGACTTTAACTAAAAAATAACCAAAAATATGTGAAGCCTTTCCTTCTTGTGTGATCTCTTCAGTGAAGTCTGTGTGGGTTATTAAACTGTTTCATTTTCAGCCACTAGGCGGCAGGATTGCTCCAATATCTTGTCTTAAAGCCATAAGAGATGTTTTGTAAAACATGTAAAATCAGTAACATTAAACCACAGAAAAAAAACTGTCACATTCAACACAGTTAAGAACAACTATTTATTTGAAATAAAATTAGATATACATGGACTCAGGGTTTCACAGTGGTCCTTGTAGATCCATGTTATAAAATAGGTCTCCTGCATAGGGCAAACATTCTTTTAAAATGACAAATTCTTAAAAGCAGCTTTTGAAAAAAAAACCTGCACTCAATGACAGTGTAGAACAAATGAAAACCAGTAATCTATTATCCACCTACTAGACAACAAAGGATGTGTGACAAGGCTTAATTCTCTGTGCAACCACACAAAAAACTCTGGGTCCCTTTTAAACAAATGCAACGGAATAAAATCACCAGCCTGACAACAACGTGGAAAACATACATCCATACTTTTAGAATGTATGCTGTGATTAAACAAACTATAACCCATAGAGCAGTGTAGCCCAGAAATACACCTCAAACACACCCTGCCAGACTAACAATAAAAAAGCTTAGTGAGTGTATCTGTAGTGAGTTTCGAACATTAAACAAATTCAGTGAAAGAGCAGAAATTGTACAGAAATGACAAGAATAAACATTCTGGAAATCTAAAACTGTCAAGGTGTCGGTGACTATTGCACAGGGGTTCAAATTATTATCATTTATTTATAAAAAGTTCAATAACAAAACCTAATATTCATGTGTGCATTGGGTTCAAATGTTTTCATTTGAGCTCTCCTAATAAATATCTATAAAACATCATTTGTAAGAGCAGTGTGCGTCATAAGGGTAAACTATTACTAGTTCTAACATGTTACTGAACTGGTTTAATGTTGACTCCAACACAGTGCGTCTTTCATGGGTTCACAAAGCCAGAGTTAGTGACATATGGGATTATAAACAGGACATGCTGATTCTAACAGTATTGTTGTCGAGCAGCAGGCCTGGATTTTAAAACGTATCTTTATCAGGATTCAACAGGAGACAGTTGAAGACTTAAATTATAAAGTGTTTTTAAATGTTTCACATTAAATGAGGTTGCAAATGAGAACTGTGTATGATTCTCCAGTGACTGTAACGGTAGATTTAATCTGATTTTTAGCGCTTTTTCTCCTGTCCAAACTGGCCGTGAAGGTATAACATTTTAACAATTGTTATATTGATGCTTCAGCAGTCTGACTTACAGGTTAGGTTGATAACGTTGTTTTTGTTTTGAATGTCCTCTTTTTCTTCCTGTCTCTCCACTACAGCTACGTAAGGAAACAGACAGAAATTATAAATATAGTAAATAGACTTCACTACAGGAAGCACTTTTTACTGTCAATTTAGATTTGTTTTAAAGGATGGTATCTCTTGACCGTCAGCATGGACAGCAGAATCAATTACGGCCCCAAAAGTGGTATTATAGACTTGAATAAAAGGTGAATCCATCCTTTGATACAAGTGTACATTTCTACCACAATTTCATCCAGAGAATGACGTCATTTTAGAGAGCTTAAGCTTAAATAAACATTTTTTAATTCACATTTTATGTTTACACCGTAGCCTTAGCACTTCATTTATGGATTTAAAAAAGAAAATCCCCCTCGTATGCTTTTGGTGAACTTGAGCCCCCTCTGGTGTTCCCAAAAAGCTAATGAACACCCAACCAGAGAAAAACGGCACCAATATTTTGTTTACCCGAGTGTACATTAAGGTGCACTTTAACATTAAATATACATTATTTAAAAGGAACAAAATCATTAGTTAGTTAGACTTCCCATTTGTGACAGACCAGACCATTTACATTGTGAAGATACTACAGCGCACAAGGGCCATTGTAGATTACAATACAATTATAAAGCCACACAGAATAAAGTCAAAAATGTATGAGAAAAATGCTCTTTTTTTGTCAAATCGATTCACTTTGCAAGGTTGGATTAACCTCACGTGCAGTAGATGACCAAATTCAAAAATAATTTGCAATCAATAGCAATACGGAAATACTTGTTATTTTAGCCTGGAATCACCATATTATTATTATTATTATTATTATAAGCATTCAGACTTTAAAGAGATATTGCCAAGAATTGGGCATATTCAGAAAAAAATCCACATACAGATTCGGTGAGGTTAAAGCCTTTTGTGCCGGACCCCCAACACAATGGACAGATGAAGGATGTCACCATGTTCCATAATGTTGCACCGCCCGTCTATGGTCTGACTGGCAGCTGTGGGGTTGATTCAACTTTGCAAATTTGAGCAATCTAGTTCCTTGACTAAAAAAAGCATTTGTCTTATACATTTACAACTATTTTAATATAAGAATGTTAAAGTTTATTTTTGGTACACTTTTGAGAAATTCTGATTGTTTTTCACTGATTACTACCCACCGGCTCCGGCTCTTAATTATTTAATATTTTAACATACAATGGCCCAAATACGGCATCATATGAAGATGGTTTATAAAGAGCAGAATTTTAATGTTTTTGTGTGTGTGAGATCAAATGTGTCTATGGCAGAAGACAGCTTTCACAATATGTTGTTTTCTGCCTCTGTAAGGGTGAAGCCCAGGCATGTGAGACCATTCAGCCGTTTGACTAAAGCATCTCTACCTCATGAGCCTCCTTTGAGGCATCCAAAGACAGCAAGGACACGTTTTCCTTCTCCGCACTTCCACTATCAGCTAACTCAGGCGTGCAGCTTCTCTCTAAGATACTGAAGTCACTATTTTCTGTCAAATCTCCACCTGTTACACTTGAGATCAAATCCAGAGATGTATGCAAGTCACTGATTTCGGTAATGTATTGCAAGTCGTCCTCCTCATGGGCAAGAATGTCGTCTTTTTCCACAATGCATCCATTGACGTGTAGGCCCAAAATGTTTGTCCTGGGGGTCTGCACTTCTTCTGCCCAGTGAGCGACCTCCTCGTGAGGAGTCTCCATGTGTCCGTCTGCAGAGTGGATCAGTTCCTCTGCCTCGTCACAGATGCTCTCTTCATCGCTGACCTTGACAATGCTTTCATTGGAAGATGACTGGCTGTCCTCGTCGCTGTCATCTTTGGTCCTTACCAGATCCACTTCCTGTTCAACCAGATCGTCTTCCAGTTCAACTTGGTCCATATGTTGAAAAGGGTCATCGCCGCTGCCTTCCACCTCTGGGTGCACATTGTCAGCCTCTTCATGGATTTCTGACATATATGCTGTCTCATCTTTCCTCTCAGGTTCATCGCTCATTTCCTTGTCTGCGCTCTTAAACTCCTCCAGACAGCTGGCATCTTCAACAGGAGCCTCAGTAGTATCAACGTGTTCGAGTCCATTAACTTCAGAGATAACATGATTTTCTAAAACACTTTTCTCAAAGCAGACTTCAAGAACCTCCTCTTGAGATATTGTGGCACTTACTAAAAGAGGGTCCTTTAAGTCACTGTCCTTAAAATCGAAGTGGACCTTTTCCGTATTAGCCTCCACAGAACTTTCACAGTGTTCAACCTTCTCCTCTGTGTCCGGATGAGGAACAACCTTCTCCTCTGAGGCTGGATGAGGAACAACCTTCTCCTCTGTGTCCGGATGAGGAACAACCTTCTCCTCTGTGTCCTTCTCCTCTGTGTCCGGATGAGGAACAACCTTCTCCTCTGTGTCCTTCTCCTCTGTGTCCGGATGAGGAACAACCTTCTCCTCTGTGTCCGGATGAGGAACAACCTTCTCCTCTGTGTCCGGATGAGGAACAACCTTCTCCTCTGTGTCCGGATGAGGAACAACCTTCTCCTCTGTGTCCGGATGAGGAACAACCTTCTCCTCTGTGTCCGGATGAGGAACAACCTTCTCCTCTGTGTCCTTCTCCTCTGTGTCCGGATGAGGAACAACCTTCTCCTCTGTGTCCTTCTCCTCTGTGTCCGGATGAGGAACAACCTTCTCCTCTGTGTCCAGATGAGGAACAACCTTCTCCTCTGTGTCCGGATGAGGAACAACCTTCTCCTCTGTGTCCGGATGAGGAACAACCTTCTCCTCTGTGTCCGGATGAGGAACAACCTTCTCCTCTGTGTCCGGATGAGGAACAACCTTCTCCTCTGTGTCCGGATGAGGAACAACCTTCTCCTCTGTGTCCGGATGAGGAACATTCATATCTTCTGTGTCCTTCTCCTCTGTGTCCGGATGAGGAACAACCTTCTCCTCTGTGTCCGGATGAGGAACATTCATATCTTCTGTGTCCTTCTCCTCTGTGTCCTTCTCCTCTGTGTCCGGATGAGGAACAACCTTCTCCTCTGTGTCCGGATGAGGAACATTCATATCTTCTGTATCCACTGTCTTATCGCTCTCCTCTCTTACGGAACACTCCTCAAACAAGCTATCCACCACGCATTTCTCCTGGAAGTCAGTATTCATGGGCGAGTGCACCTCTACAGGTGTCTGTATCTGACAGCTTTTCTGCTGAGTCTGTTCTTCAAGGCTGAGACTCTCAGGAACATTCTGGCTTTCACCCAGATAAAAGCTCGCCTCTGATGGGACACAGTCCTCAACAATGGCCTCAAGATGGTTGTCCCCCTGAAGGACCATTACGGAGGAGTTTTCCTTGTACAGGAACTCAACTGTGTCCTTGTCATCACGCTCCAGTTCACAATCTTGAGGTTCAGAGTCAACACAGGACAAATGCTCTGGACTGAAGGTCTCTTTAAGTTGTAGGCAAGGTTGATGAGGAACTGGGCTGTAAAGCGGGACAGAGAAGAACATTTATTAACTTACAATTCAAACAGAACAGGAACTTGTTTAGAATAGTAGTTCCCCCACTATAACCCACAGTTTTTTAACTCTGCCACAAATCCCACTCAAGCCAGATTTGAAACTATCTTTACTGAGAATATGGTAAGCATTCACCGCAGCATCAGGACTAAAACCACCAGACTCTGAGACAGTTTCTTTCCACAGGCCATAAGACTATTTAACACCTGAGCTTACACTATTTAAATGTTTTGGACAATTTTATTATAATTTAATAAAAATGTACCTATGACCTAAGTGTTTCATTCATTGCATAACTACACCATAACTACACTAAATTAATGAATCTTGAATCATTTGGGAAAAGTCCTTTGGGAAAATAACGTAATAATTAAAGCTGTTCCCTATTATAAAAAAGTAAAGATCTTTGCACAAATGATTCCTATAAAAGTAAGTCGAACAGAAAAAAAGCTTGGGATATACACTTATTTATGTTCTTGACGAGAGTGGTCAAGAACTCTGTATGTTAAACATAGAACTACTGTCAGTAGCCAGAAACCTTAGCTTAGCACTTAGACCGGTAACAGCTAGCCTGGCTCTTTCCTTCAGTAACCAAATCTGCTTTGCTGCACCTCTAAAGTTGTTCAAACGCGGAACTGTAAATCAGGAAGTTGGTTTTACGGTGGATAATGAGCTGGACTCTTTATAGGCCAGGCAGGGGGCAGATTTTATAATCTTTTGACAAAGCCAGAGTGGCTGTTGCCCCTTGTACAAAACTAAGCTAACTAGCTACATATGAACCATATTGATAAACGAGTGGGATCAATATTCCATCAAACATTCAGCAAGAGTGAATAAGAAGTGAATAAGTCTCAAACTATCTTTAATTTAATGAATACAAAAAACAACATCCAGGAGGTCTAAAAACCTACATTAAGCAATATGATGAGGGATTGCTGTTTTTTAACTTTGCATAGTGTGTTATTGTTACATTTTTTCCAGCACCTTGAACCATCCTGTGTATTAAACATGCTTTAAAAAATAAAACAATCTGCCTTGCAATGGCACGTACACATAAATAATCTTAATTAAACAGAAGGGACAATGCAAAGGCAAACATTTTTTTCAACACCATTAAGGCTAAATCCTACCTCTCCATGGACTCATATGAAACGGTCAAACTTGACTCCTTGATGGGATCATCCTCCTGTGCCTGAGCGTAGCCCCGATTTGACGAGACGTAGGTGAGGATGGCGTCCGTCACAGAGTAGGGAGTGTGGCCCTGCACGCAGTCCTGGATGTGACCCACTGGCAGCTGAGTCTGCAGGAAGAGGTGGAGCTGGCTGTCTGACAGACACACTGTCATGTTCACCACACTGCCAGGACAAAAGGTATTTATTATAATCGTAGTTTGCATAACAAGAATGTAATTTATATTACAGCAGATGAAATATATTTGTTCAAAGAACACTTAAAGAACTGACCTGTCTAAGAAGGCCTGAAGACCTTTCCTCCTCCTCTCCAGGAAGTCCTCATTAATGAAGGAGAAGAAGGACTTAGCTGGAAGGTCTGGGACTGGCCTACAAGGAAGAAAAAACACACCCCTGTTTGTAGATTATAGCTTCTTCAGTAAGTATGGAACAGAAGTGCAATGTTGATGAACTTTACAAAAATGGGTGACATGCTTCTTTGGTTTCTCTTTTAACACAATTTCACAATAAAAGACATTAAAATAATTGAATTTAAGACTGCAGCAGGGATGACATTTTAGGGGCCAACTTGGAAGTTAGCATGGACCCAGTTCCCTCGACAAAAAGCCAATTGGATTTCTTCATTGCAAGATAATATTCACAAATGAACCTCTTCTATAATTTTGAAGCGAAACAAATAAACGATTTACACCATGGTCGCCTGACTTCAACGTCACTACCCCTTAACTTGCCGCTTGTTATTTGATTTTACGCTCTTATCTCTATTACAAAAGACTTTCCTGTGAAAGAGCATGAGTAAAACACTGGCAGTGAATGCTGGCTACAGAGAAGAAGACAAAATGTCAAATCGTTCGAGCTTGTGTTAACCACAGACATTGTTTATACACATTTAACCAAAGACCCATCCAAAAAGCCCATTGACTAAGGGATAGGAGAACCAGAAGTGTAAAAATGCAAACTCATTTCCTGCAGCACTCTATAGTTAAACAGGACTCTCCCTCTTCACAACAACTTACACCAAGCCCGTGTTCTTCTGAAGCTTCTTCTTGAGCCAGGAAAACTCACTGTAGCGCCGACGCACGCACGACGTCTTGGCTGTGAAGGCCTTGCTGTTGGTCTGCAAATTTAAAAGATATATTACTGTCAACAAAACTCTATTATTCAGAGCCAAAGTAGGAGCCAGGAGGGTTTTGGTCTAAGCAATGTATTGACAATAAGAAAAATATACCATAGCACTAGCCTCATCTTTCAATTTATTCATATTCAATCTTTTCAACCTAATGTTGTAACTCGAGACCTAACTCCTGCTGAGGTATAGCAGGACTAAAACGTTATCATAGGTCCGTTTTGTTCCAGTAGCGTGTGACACAGTCAACTGATGTTTGCATAACAAACTCCGTCTGAAAGACCATAATCAATTACAGGCAGCATTGGTTAAGTTCTCATGTCATTAAAACAAATTCCATTAAAAGGGTAAAGGTCCTCAAAAACATCCCTCCTTCCCTTTTTTTATCACTTCATGTTTTCTGTAACTGCAACTATTTTTGACAGAAATGACAAACATTTGCTTGTTCCGGTATTTCAAATGTCTGAGTATTTGATGCTGTCTTTGTCGCACATGATCGTAAACTAAAATATCTTTGGGTTTCAGACTGTGGTTACGGCAAAACAGGAAGTTCCGTCTGTGTCTTAGGGAAACTCAAAACAGGTATTTTTCTCTGTTTTCTGACATTTTATTGACAAAACAATTGATCTGTTTTTTCAAAAGATAATATGCAGGATAATCGATAAAGAATCGTATTGTTGGTTGTAGCTATGGCTGCTCAATTAGTAAATGTGCGGGAAAGAAAACACAAGGCCTTGTTGAGTAAAAGCTTTGAAATGTATAGATGTTCATTTTAACTTTGTGCAAACTTGTTTTGTGTCCTTGCTGTCACATTTACCTGTACGAAAAACAATAGTTTATAGTGACACCCAAAAGGAGGTCACATGATCTTAGCCAATTTCATGAGTCAACACCCACACAGCACATCCCTCTGTGCAAGCCTTGCTGCTGACACAGCATTACTCAACACAGGCGGCTGCCCTGACAACATCATCAACTCCGGTCCAAAACATGTAAGGAATCCATGCTGCTGCAGACTCAGTGCTTCCAGAGATTGGAAAACCCAAATTCAATATGGTCCCACACTTTGTTGGTACTTCAGGCTATTGATTCCTATTGCATTCATTAGCATGGTTTAGTATGACATAGGCCTAATAGAAACTACGTTTGTAGGTTAGTTGGAAATACTTCTACAATGGTAAAAGACTACTAAGTAATTATTGTGTGAAACTTTCAAAGTAATATATTGTGTCTTAATTTAAGATGAGGCCAGTTTATTATTGAGGCACATTTCAACAAAGTCCACTAAATGTCATTCAACTTTTCCAATAAAAATAAATCTAGGTTATTCCCGGCAAAACATTTAGAAGCGAAAAATAACGTTTGTTTTTGATTATTCTGATGGTTGTTATCCTAAAATATGTATTGTCTCTCTACATTTTTATCCAACCAAAAAGCTTAAAATATTCCATTTGTATTTAAATAAAAAGAAAGGCAGGACCTCTTCACACAGAGACTGACGAGATATATTGTAATTTAAGGGCTAATACTTACATGTAGGAATATTTTGTAATCCACAAATGAATTCCAGGAGCCTTCATTCTGCACGCGGGGATCTTGGACCCGCACTGCAACAAACTCCTAAAAAGGACAAAAAGAGTCTCAAGTTTAAATATAAACTGTAGTGTCTGTGTGTTTTGCTGCATCGTGGTTAAACCAAAATATTCAAATCTACAGAACAAACTGTGTGTGCCTGGCCCATACAACCTCTTCAAAAGAAGTCAAGCATCACAAGTCTTTAAACACATCAATGGACAAATTGTTCTTTGACATTTGTTAATTGGGATTTTTAAGGAAAGGGAGGGTTTTAGATTTCACCAACAAGATAACATTAGACAGTTTCTAAGATTACATGCAGAACAAGAGGGAAGGGAGGTTACTTACATCTTCTTCTTGATTGTTGATCATCCTACCGAGTGCAGCACTGCAACGAGAGGGGAAATCAATGATGAGGGAATTAAAGATCAAACTGTGTTACGTCTTCTATAGTGTTGTTGTCATGAGCTGATGACTCATCCTGCAAAGATACTGGTCAGCACAATCCACTGAGTCACTGTGGCAGGCATGTCCCTTTAGCATTTGGGGTTAGACTCTTTTTCAGGGCGTTTAATGAAGAGAAACCTTTCCTGGAAATACAGTAGTTTGTTAAGTCTGACTTTTGTATTTCCGCTCTCTATTATTAGCTTATCTACCAGAACTGTAGAGCTGGTACACCAACATTCCTTTAATATAACTCAGGCTAACTCACCCATCACCAGTAAGGTCTGGCAAATTCCGATTAGGGCGGCAACAAACAACTATCTTCCTTACAGAGTAATCCTTTATATCTTTTTTTAATCGATTGGTTGTTTCAAATTAAATCATGTGTATTTTTCACATGCACAATCATACACAGTATACTTTGTATGATATTCTGTAATTACTAGCTTCAGAAAGCAAACAGATGGTAACAAAAGTTTTACAAAATACTCTAAAAAGAATACATGAATTAATACATTAGCAATGATAAGACATGCCAATAAGGGCTGAAATATAATTACGCTCATTATCAAGTATTTCTACTCAAAAATCAAATTTAGCTATTACAAAACGTAAGAAAATATAAAAATGTATCCAAAGTAATATCTTCAATATAATTTTAAAACGAAAATGATAAATAAAACAAATGAAATCAATTGATGTTGACAATAACTAAATGCATTTCAGACGATGTTTATTTCTGAGAAACTTGCACCACCACGTTTCTTAAGCAAAGTACTATCAACTCACTTTTATCAGCCATTTCTCTATGAAAACAGATAAAGTATTGTAGCTATGATGGGTGTTTTCTGATAATTGTGCCCTAATCTGTTTAAAATTAATTCAGTAAGTAATGCAAAATAAGATATCTCAGAATGAATTCGCATGTATAACGTTTTCTCCATACTGTAACAGCCAACACTTTTCTGAAAAACAACGTAAGTGTTCTGGCCTGAATACACACACTTCTAAACAATGTGGCTACAGGAAACATCAGCTAACGTTAAATGCTAACCCCAACTAGCCTACTTACTTTCACGAGTTATATGTCGGCTGCAGCGGAAGTATCCAGCCGGCTTTGGTCGATGAAGTCCCGCCTGTCGAGGTTTCTGTTTTATTTAAGCACAAGATCCTCAAATAATGAGGCTTGTTTTGTCCAAACAGCTCCGATCTTCATTTCGCAAGTCACAAGCTTCAATTGCTGCGACGTCACAATGACGTGTATGCTTCCGGTAGGCATGCGCGCGGAGGTATTTTTTATTTGTTGTATTCACCAATAATATTTCAACTGACAACATGAAATAAAAATACATGTTGACAACAAATATCAATAGGTTTAATATTACAAGTTTAATTACACATTTGCTTACTGTTTGCTCACGTGATAAACGTCACACATGTGGATGAGAGCTTCTGAAATTCACCGTAAGTGTAATTTAAAGGACCCTTTTGATGGCAAGTAAATTACACTTACTGATTCCAGGGGTTTTTTGCTCAGGGAATAAAGTGAGCGGAAATGTATCTGAAAGCCCCTAAAATGTACAGTTGGCTGAAGAGTAATAATAACAAAGGCCATTCATGGCGAGTCAAAGTTGTGAGATAAATTATGATAGGTGAAAACTAGGATATTAGGTCGTTATTTTGCATTATAAGGTACAATTATAGGGTATTTAATTTAAATATGATTTTAGATTAGATTAAACTGTATTGTCAATGCACATATTTGACGTAGGCTACTGAAAGAACAAAATGCAGTTTTAGCATCTAACCATCAACAATAACGTGCAGAATAGAATTATCACTTGCTCTGCTAAAATGATGTGCTGTTCAGACTGTAGGTCTAAGTGTATTTAAAAAAAGGCCATTTATGGTAAATCAAAATTATATTAAGAATAATACAAGATATTCAGTCAAAGTGTCATTTTATGAATATATTCTGAGTATGATTCTGATACAGAATATGTACATATATACATACCCCTATATGTTGTATGGAGCTAATCCCCAAAATGTGTTTGATGACATCACAACATTGTGTAGATTTGGGAGAGAGCTGTTCATGTTTATTAATATTCTTGGATTGTCTTTGGCTTTATGAATGAATGTAAGAAGTTTGAAAATGGACGTAGTTTCCAAGGATTCATTAATTGTATTTTTAAGGGGTTGTTGTATCATTAACTACTTTCAAAAGGTAAACATATAAAGGCTACTTTGTTTATTTGAATGTATCAACTCTTTTCTTCCCCCACTGTGTGTAGCCTATGCAGAGAGGGGCGTTCCATCCATACGGTCCATTGTTTGCTCACACTTCACAGATCTATATATCACCTGCACGCAGCACCACCTGCCCCGGTTACGTTGGTGAGTAAATCCATATGCTTTAGAATCTGTGATTCTGCTCGGTCCTCCATCCACCTTTTTTTCTTCCCTGATACCAGAGACGAAGGGGCGGAAACGATACATTTCACTTTAGTCAAGCTAGCGGCTCTGCATGTAACATCAAGTCAAGGCAAACAGCGACATTATCACAAAAAAATACGAGGAAAAGAATATCGTGTTTTTTTATATCGGTTCGGTTGGAGGTTAACAAAATATTAAATTGTGAGTCGGTGAGTTTATTTTTTTTACCTTCCCTCCTCCCTCTAAATGGGTTGTCTCGGTAACGTTTGATTGTGCACGAGACTAACGTTAGCCAGCCCTTAATGTGCATGTTTACAATGGGGGTGAACACAGCGTACTCTAGTTAGTTTATACATTACGCATTTATAAAAATACACATAACCGACATACACAACAGAGTATGTTACATTAGTTGCTAACACAAAAGCAATATGGAGGAGGAGACACCATCTATCTGAAACTGTGGGTCTCTCCGAGGCTTTGTCGTGCAGTGTTTTCTTCTGTATGCGTGCTAACGTTAGCCACACAACGCCCCCTTATATTGTATGTATTTTTCACAACGACAATGCTAGTGAAGAGAGGGAAAAACGTTGTTGTTTTTTTTCTTTATTTCTGCATTTCCACATTGCATTGTGCAGTCGTCGCCAGGTGTGGAAACCTGTGCACAGTTGTTGATGCTGGCACTTGAAGCAAACGGTCAGACATCAGTGAAGGGATGAATATTGAGGGAGCGACTCAGTAAATATCCTGCTAATAGTGATCAGAATGGAAGCCCATTCCTAACAATGTGTTCTCATTATGACATGTTTTTTACATGTCATAATGAGAATATTACTCAAAAATAATGACTTAGTTTCCCTATGACTTAGGTATATGACTTGTGTTATACTAATCTCAAAATAATGAGAAGCTTTGTCAACATATTGAGTTGTGTAACAATAAACTTATTTCAAGACAAGTACATGCCATTTTTTGAGAAGGTTTTGGGGTATTTTGCACCATTAAGTTATTATTTCTCTATGACAAGTAATTCTTTTCAGAAGGATTCTCATTATTTTGCGACACTAAGTTGTAATTTTGAGATACTAAGTCATTATTTTGTAAATGTTTCTCATACATATTTTCATCAAAAGGTTACGTTTTATCTTATTATTCATAGATAAGGGGAGGCTGTGGCTCAGTGGGGATAGTGCGCTGAACTTTGAATCAGGGGGATAGCAAGTTCGAGTCCCACTGCAGTCAGCATGTCGTTGTGTCCCTGGGCAAGACACTTCTCCCCAAATTGCTCCTGTGGGGATTGCCCACAGCACTGAATGTATGTAAGTCGCTTTGGATAAAAGTGAAGTAATAAGAAAGTAGAAAGTAATAAAATCCATCTACTCAAGTACTGTACTTAAGTTATTTATAAATTAAGAATTGTGCATACAAATCATATAAAAGGAAAATGTGACCGCATTCCTCACTATCTGCCACATTTTTACTAAACAATCAAACAATTAATGGTGAAACATATCAGAAGATTAATCCATAAAGAAAATAATCAATACATTATAGATTACAATATGCTCCACCTCAACCAACTGCAAAGTAAGAGACTGCTTTTACATGGATGCATTAGTATTAATAATCAAATGGTTTTAGTGCCTAAGCATAGATGTGAATACTTCCTCCACTGCTAAGAGATCCACTGAGTTTACACCATGTCGTAACATAATCGCTAACTTTAGACAGCGCAGATTAGGCAGGCAAGTCAACAAGTCTATGCATTTGGTTTCCACAAAGTGAATCCCACATATTGCCTGTAACCTACATTGCCTCACATTGTTATCCTTGTGTCTTTTCAATAAATCCCAACCTCTAATATTGTTCTCTCCTCTCTACTACATTGATCCTGTTTGACGTTGCCCAGGAACCTGCTGGTCCCCAGGTCAACCTGATGAGTATGAGCCTGACTACAGAACCCCCTAATGATGTTCCCGCTGTTAAAGAAGGTTTAATACATCATTACTACAAAATATATGTCTTTGTATCACTTTGTCCTTGTAAGGTGTGTGTCAAGAGTTGTATAAGTGGCAATTTAAATGTTTGTAGACCAGAATTATTTACCATCTACACATGAACATCTTAAACTCTGAATATGAACGTAGAAGCTTTCAGTTTCAAAGGGTAACTGTAACTCTCTGTTTATTGCTTTTGTTTCTAACCCGTCAGAAAGCAAAATGACCGCGGTCCCTGAAAAGAAGGACAAGAAGCCAGAGGATGTGGCAGAGGAAGAGGAGGAGGAGGAAGAATATGTGGTGGAAAAGGTCCTGAATCGGCGGGTGGTGAAAGGGAGAGTAGATTATCTTCTCAAGTGGAAAGGCTTCTCTGAGTGAGTGGATTGAGTTATTGTCAACAACCAATCACATCATTTACTAGAATTGCAAGAACCAGATGAATTATTAATTAGTTGTTTGCCAGAAAAAAGATCACATGGTATTTTGATATTTTACTTATCTTTTAAGTCAATTTTTTTTAATTAAAAAATGTCCAAAATCCTCTCATCAGCCTCTCAAATATGTAAAAGTCTGGATTTATACTGTTTTATATAGTTTTATAGTGAATATTATTGGGTTTTGGACTGACATAACTCTTGTTGCAGTCCTATCATTCCGTCTCTTTTTCGGCCATTATCCTATTTATACTGTCCTCAAAATCATTTACTGCATCAAGATTATAACCTAAATGAATGACATACCATGGGAGTAAGTTATTATTTTTTGTTTTTATGTATTTATGTCTGCAGGGAAGACAACACCTGGGAGCCATCGGACAATCTGGATTGTCCAGATTTGATTGCAGAATTCCTGCAGTCCCAGAAAACAGCACAGGACGTGAAGAGAAAGGCGGCCGGAGACGCAGAAGGAGACGACAGTAAGACGAAGAAGAAAAAAGACGATGTAAGTCCCAATTCTTTGTTTTTGTTCTTAGAATGTTGTTCTTTTTATGCATATTTGCAAGAGTTCCTTTTGTATTAGGTGCCCTGACACACTAAGCCAACTTCAAAGTAGCAAAGACAGACCTAGTGACACAGGTATTTCTGTAAATTGGGGTTTTCCACCTCCGTTCTGCAAAAATGCTATCCTCGTTAACAAGGTTTATAAATACATTCCGTTCAAATTAAAATGCTAAACACAATTGTCAATGCCATTTACCCACACAGACACTCAGGCATTCAGCGACATTAGTGGCAAGGGACTTCCGAAGTGCATTCTGGTGCCTCTGTTCCTCTATAAAGTGACATGTGAACGGTTCTGTTAAAAGGTGCAATAATACTGCACGAAATATACATCTCACATACGAGATAATGGCGCACAGTCCAACGTTAGAAGCCAAAACTCCCTTACTACACATCAACTCTGGAAACGGAATTTCTGTAAAATGTTCAGCCTAGGAGTTATAGAAAAGCTCTGTTTTCAGTTTCCTAGACTGCCGTTTGGATGTAAATAAAAGCCAAAACACACAGAAAGAGCTAGGTTTAATAAATACCTGTATGCGCGTGGACAAGGCCTTATTCTTTATGCCATATCTTCTTTTACCAAGATGCGATTGAACAGAGTCTGCTGCTTGTGGAAGAACAAAATAAACTCTTACATTCCACATTATATGCATTCTTTTTGTTTTTGGAGGAAGAGTAGCAGGCGACAGGTGTTTATTATTGTTTAGGAAGACGTTAAACCACATCAAGGTGAGGATTCTTTTGTCATGGAAAACCACATCACATACTAATAGTTTCCCAGCCATATGGAATTCCAGGTGTACACCTCAACAGCACGTCCCCCTCCCCCCACTTCCTCATATAATAATAATAATAGATTTATTTTGTAAGCGCTTTTACAGGTGCTCAAAGTCGCTTTACAGAGATCGTGAAAAGAAAAAAACAACAAATAAATATAGTTAAAGTCAAATTAAAATCAAGCAATACAACAACAATCACACATTAAAAGCCAGATTGAAGAGGTGAGTTTTTGTAAGTTCTTTTGAAGGTGGTGAGGTCAGTGCAGTCTCTGATGGGTTGTGGGAGTGAGTTCCAGAGGGAGGGATATAGTGGTCACTCACCTGCTGTACAGGCTGTGGGCCTCACTGCGGTCAGTGCCTTAGTCAAGATCCACCATCCAAGTTGAATGTGGTATTTCTGGAGAATTTTAAAAGAGTCTGCCTGGGGATTCAGCCTTTACAAGACTTATTTGATATCCTAGTTTGTTTTGAATTCAGATTGGAATTTAAACATACTGTAGGTAGTTAGAATTTAAGCTCAGATGTAGTTTTGTGCTTGATTGAAGTTGTGTGTTGTTGTGTGATCCTCAGACAGAGAAGCTAAGGGGCTTTGCTCGAGGGTTGGATCCAGAGAGGATTATTGGTGCCACAGACTCCACAGGAGAACTCATGTTCCTCATGAAATGGTTTGTGTGCACCTTAACTGTTGAACATTAGTTACTGCCTGGTTTGTTTGGTCAACTAAATGTGTCATTAAAAGAATACACCCAAAATGATCATTGATGTATCAATAATTCACCCCGTGACCTTGAAAATAACGTTGTTTTCTCGCATGTCTCCATTGTGAACATACCCAAAAATCCAGAAAATTCTAGATGATTTGTGTAACAGTTTGTAATTTGAAATTGTCCAGAATGTTCTCAGCTTTCGGATTCTTCGATCACTGTGAAAGCATTCAAATTCAAAGTTACATGGAAAAAGTAGAGTCAGTTAAACTTGTTTTTGTGTTAATCTTTGCAGGAAAAACTCAGATGAAGCTGACCTGGTGCCGGCGAAGGAGGCCAACATGAAGTGTCCGCAGGTGGTCATCTCTTTCTATGAGGAGAGACTTACATGGCACTCGTATCCCACCGAAGACGAGAAAAAAGAGGAGAAAATCTAACACAGGGCCAGGGGTGAGGGGGAAAAAGAGAAATTGTAGTTTTGAATGTTATTGTACTTTTGAGAAGGGATTTGTGGGGGTTCAAATGGAGGGGGGAGGGGGGCCAAAACAAGCAAGACTCCATTGAATGCGTCTTGATGTATCACTCATTGGATTCTACTTTTATTCAGATATGAACGATCTGTAAATATAAGCTTTAGGTTTGCTTGACAAATCCAAAGTGAAATGTAAAACGCAATGTTATTTTTCAGTATTGGCAGAGAATATTCACTTTCGTTTTCTTGAAAAAAAAAAACCATAGGGTCCAGTGCTCGGTCATCTTGCTATGCCATTGTGTCAGTGAGGTGATGTTTTGATTTCATTCGTGTGCCCTTTTAAATATTTTAACTTCATTTTGAGTCAATCCTGGCTGTTTTATAAGGACTTGTTTGGTGTACGGTTACAAACTCTTTTCAGTGATTCATTTGTAATCTTTAAAGTGTTTATCATGTTAAGTCTTGTCGGTTTTGGAAAATAAACCCCTTTTTGTTACTTTGGTGGTGTCGCTAAAACAGGATTATTACCGTATCTTATATTAAATGCAGAGAGCCAACGCTAATGTCTTAAAATCTCTTTTATCCTCTGTTCTACAGCATACAACATATATTATTCATGACAACTAGAACACAAGAGTCACAGGTGAAAATAAAAACACTTTATTAATCGATAAAAACAATTCTTGATTGCCGGCAAATATCTCAAAACAGAGGGAACTACATCCAAACTGAAAGCAGAGTGTGAGACCGTTATGGAGACGCTTGACAAACTACATAAAATCATGACAAAAACAAACATGAAAATATTTACACAACAAGACAGACAAAAAAAGTGCACTAAGTAGTAGCAGAACTAAATAGTCGGTGTCGCACTGGGTTACACTGAAGTAAATGTTAACCAGTTGCATGCCTGAATATCACATTTAATGAGGACATTTCTCCTTTCAAAAAACATTTTTTGGACATCATCTTAAAGTTGCGAGTTCTGTTCTGCCTCTTATAAATATTTTAGCCTAACCGCTATCTGAGCTGGCACTAATAACCTATTTTTTCTTTTTAAAAAGAGGGCGATGTTACATGTACTGACAAAACTTCATTCAAATAGACGAGTAATAGCACTTCTACTTTGAGAACGTTCTCCTCCGGTTCTCAAAACATTTAAAGTGACAGATAATGAGATTGTGAAATAAAGGCATTCAAAGCAAAGTGGCCACAACACACACAGTCATATCACGCATTCAAATATTATTTTTTTCTCATGTAACAACTTGGCTCACTTTGTTTTATTAACACAAAAACATAGGACTCATAATATTTAAGCCAACACCTTGGCTTTACAGCAGTTAAAAAATTGCCTAAAGTGGCTTTCAGTGGGGTTGGCAAATAAATTAAATTAAAAAGGGATTCCGCTCCACCAGGCGTCCACTGAGCCTGTTTTAAGTTAGTGCGTAAAACGAGGCGTCAAAGAGGACAACAAAAACCGGCAAACCTCGAGGTGGAAATCCCTCTGGAGCTCCTGGCCCATCACAGTATCTTCAATTCCTCTTATGATTACAGGCTCTGTGTGAAGTTTCAAAACCAACAAAAAGTGTGTAGACTTTTATATAAAGCTGATGTGGCGAGACCTATAACCTTGCTTATACTACAGATTATGAACAGTTAATAAGAGCCCTCCTAAACGCAGCTCCTGTATTTAAACCCGCAGCGAAGGAACAGCGACAGACACGGCAAAATGCATAAAGCCAAGCCTTTGTAAAGACAAATTACAGTGCTATGTATAATTTATAAGGAAGTTGATACATTTTGCAATGCAGTGTGCCTCCCTAAAACATCCATCTGCTCCTCTTGCCGGAATTCACTTTCACGCCCTTTTTTTTTTTAGCAGCGGCCAGCCCAGGAACACTCTTTCTCATCCCAACATCCTCCTTCCAATCCGCACATGAAACCCAATCACTTCGGGGGCCCTCTGGACTCCGACAAACATACTCAAAAACTGGAATTTGCCGCACATAAACAGACAATTGGAGTGCAGTGTTTAAAATGTAGTCAGATCCAGTGATGTGCACCATACAACCTTTGGTTAGTATAGGTGTTAATGGCATTCTAAAACTGATGGACTTCCTTTAGCCTTTGGTAAACTCACAGAACCTCAAATGTTGTTCTTCGCCTGAAGATTTGCAACTTAAAAACCTCACTGTCGAAATCACAAAAAGTCTCCAGGATGGGATGATCTGTCCTTTAAAACCTCCGGTGCATAGGTACTCCAACCGTCCTCGTCGACAGTGTTCTTTTACTCCCACTTCTCTCGAATAACAGTCCTTTTTATTTACCTCACAAATCGTCTCCCTCCTTAGCGGTTTGCTGCAAAAGGGTCGAGAGCAGCTAAACATTTTCTAATAGCTCATTGTATGTCCTTTTACATCCCTCTTCTCCGCGCTTATTGTTTTCCCCCAATTAAAGAATGAAATATCAGTACTCAAACGGAGAGAGCTACTTCTGCTTCAAAGTTGTTTCCAGGAAAAAAATGTAGCCACAAATTGAAAAGGGAGAAACTAATTCAGGAAGAGTAGTCAACAATGCCATTTTTCTACTCACCAGAATCTTCTTAAAGGAAAAAAGGGCATCTCTCTTGCATCTGCAGAAATCGTTCTTGTTGATTTAGCAAAGTGATAGAATAAAACAGCAGTTAGCGCCCCCCTCACTTCTTTTTGTCTTTTTGTTTTTTCTCGGGCTTACGGTGTTGCTCCGCAGTTGTCACGCCGCGGGGCATGATCAGCACGCTGCCGTCGGCACTGTACTGGAGCGAGTACTCGCTGGGGGGGTAGGGCCGGCCCTCCTCGTCCCGCAGCTGAGTGAACACCTCCTGGTACAGACTTTGCATCTTCTGCTTCATCTGCCGGATGGAACGGATGAACTCCATCTTCTCCTTCAGCAGGCGACCCTTGTTGCGCCGCAGGTCGTGGACGCCCTGCTCCAGGTTGATGATGGTGTCCAGCTTGCGCTTGCGGCAGTTCTGAGCCGCCATCTTGTTCTTGCCGCGCCTTCGGATGTCACGGATGAGCGCCAGCTGGCCTTCGCTCAGGTGGTGCTTCGCTAGAAGCTCGTTGAACTCTTCCACGGGCAGGTTGATGATCTTCTCGTTGGAGAAGGGAATTTTCATGGACCGTGCTCGGCGTTCGTCCCGACTTGAGTGCTTGTCGTACAAGTCCTGAGGAGGCTGAAGCTTCGAGTGTTTCATGGCCTTCTTCCCGGATGAGATGGGGAGCTCCGGATCCTCGGCGAACACGGAGGAAAGCGGCAGGTTGTACGTGTGATTGTGGCCGATGTTGTCCAGCTGAGGGAGGCCGTGGAACTGGGAGGGGTTCTGATAGCTCATACGGCAGAGCTTGCTGTACCCGGGCTGATAACCGCCGACAGCACCTTCCTCCGCGGTGGCGACCTCTGAGTCGGTGCTGTACCCCACGGCCCCCTCCTCGGAGAAGGTGGCGGATGTTGAAGAAGAAGACGCTGCCGAGGAGCAGGATGTCTCGGAACTGCTCGGGGAGGGCGGGCTGTGGCTGGAGTCCAAGGAGAGACCAGAATCTGAGTCAAGCTCTTCCTCCAACTGCGAGGCCTGGGCCTGGCTGAAGCCCTCCTCCATAGCAAGGTCCAGCAAGCTGATCTCATCCAGCATGGACTCTTCCAGAAGGTTGCTGAATGGATCGGGAAGGATCGGCGTGGATGTAATGTTGGTACTGGAACTGTTAACGTGTGGAGGGATGAAGATCCCGGTCAGGTTGGTGGCTCCAAACGTGGAGTTGATGCTGCTGGAGTTGCTGGAAGAAAGTCTGAGCATGGTGGTTCTTGGGGGGGTGGTAGTGGAGTCCACCTGGGGATAAAAGATGGGGGGGAAGTCTTGGCTGCAGCTGGGGAGGGAGGCCTGATGGAGGCTGACGTCCTGGTTTACCGGAGTTGAGCGAGTGGAAAGCCCAAAGTTTACCACAGTGTTGGAGTCAGTCGTGCCGCTGTCACTGCTGGAGCTGCTGTTGGGTGAAGAGCTGTTCACTTCCATCGCCTTGGAACAGAAAGATTTAAGCATTAAACGCTAAATAGTTGAGAGAAAACCTTTTTTTCCCCTATTTTTAAATGAGTTTACATTTTTAGAGTTAGGCGGAATTTTTCATACTTCCTTATATGGCTGTACCCAAAAGTCAGAATGTTCACAATACGACGGTTAAATGTTAATGGTGTCAGAACAATCAAATATATGTGATGAGTTAAGAAGTGGACATACTTGCAGCTCCATGATGGCCATGATGTCTTGCCACTGCTGCTCCAGGTCTAGCTGTGTCTCTCCTGCAGGCCGGAGTGGAGCCAGAGGAAGACCCTGAGACGTAGAAGGAACTTCCTCATTGGAAACTATTTCTGCCGTGACAACAACCGGTGCTGGAAACTATTTGAAAAATTGCAAAAAAAAATGCAACAACTTTAGTTTTTTTACACCCTAATGAAAAACACAATACTTGCAATGCATGTGAAACAACACTGTTGTATGGTTTGACCTCAGATTCTTCTCCAAAAGGGAAAGTGGCCTCCAACAGCCTCAAGCATTCTTGTAGAGACAGTGAAGTCTGTGAGCCAAGAACTGGGAGCTGGGTAACAACAACGACAAGAGAGATACCAGTACAGTCACAAATATTTAAAATTATGTCGGGGCCCTTTTTCACACCGTAGCCCAGTTTTTTCGGGTAGTGATACCAACGCCACTGTAGCAACTCTTTCTGTTTCTGATCCTTCACTTACAGAGAATTCCATGGTTTGTGCCGTTGGTGCCGTGGCGTCTGTGTGTCTTGGACCAGCAAACAAAACCAACTGTAGAAATGTGCGAATACGGAGTTCAAATGGGTTGGTGTTTGTGTTTGGTGGGAAAGCATCCATCATCCTGACTTAAGCCAGCTGATGTTTCTGCTGGTATGTGACTTGAGTCAAGGCTAAGACACATTTTCATAATAGCATATAGCAATAGATGGTGAATCACAAGTATATCTGCTATCGGCTGCTTATTCCTTTTTCTAGGGGCGATTGTTGGCATTTCATTTCGCAGTTTTTTCTTCATTTTATATCCTGAGGATCTTTTAACAGCACACAGACACACCCCTGTGTGATTTGCAATTGCTGGTTATTGGGCTGACAATCAGTTTCTTGCACTGTTGATAAATATTCGGTGCATTTACGTAGTTTCTTCCGTCAAATTAGACCATTCTGTCTAGTACAATATAAACAAAATAACACCAAATATCGTTTTGGGTTCATGGAAACGTTGTGGATGCCTCCAATTCCAGGTCTGGATGAGCCGCACGTGTACATCTATATATTAACAAGGATTACATTTAACGTCATTGGGGCTAACCATTCCGAAAATTCCCATGGGTGTTAAGCCCTGATATAAATGCGATTCTATAGAATTCTAACTTCATAAAAGCAACAGCTTGATTGCTTTGAGCTCTCTTTCCACTGAATGAGTCTTGACTCATTAACTTGAGTGACAAAACAATGAGATAATACTCTAGTATTCAAACAGCAATTTCTCAAACCACAATGTTTTAGGCGGTGGTGGAGAGACTGGAACTGTCTCCACATGAAGACAAACTCATGTGAAGCAGCTCCCTAGTTTCTATTTTCTTTTTTATGTACTAAGAGCCAGTTAAATGAACCACCTCCCCCTGGATGAAAGACAAGGATATCAGAGATCCATTTAGTCTACTGACCTGCTCTGGGATACTCTCTCCGGTCTCCCCGTCCACCGGCTGGGCACCTTGTAAGTTAACTCCATTTCTCCAGCGCTCTTGTTCCTCATTCCCGTCTTTGTTCTCTCGTGGGCTGGGCTTCTCCTCCTCCTCGCTCTCCTTCTGACGGTTGCTGTAGTTGAACACTTCTCTTCCCGCACCGAGGTCGATGTCCTGTCTCCATAGAATGTCAATCAAGTCAATGTCCTGGAAAAACAGATAGCAACCATTGAGAAATGGCCCTGTGCAGAGAAGAGTCACTTTAATAACCAGGTAATGTGTAGGCATTCAATGTATTTAACTTATACTGTAGCCAGGTTAGAAATCAACATAGCTGGGCCATTTATGATAATAAACTAGTACTTATACTGCCTATTTTTGGGCTCATTATTTCATAACAGTGGGTAATTTTGGCGGATCATGCAACAGAAATGAAGTCAGATGATGCAACCATGACAGAATCACTTTGACATGGTGGTGTTCATGTGATCAGAAAGAAGTCTTTTAGTTTTCTTACAGTCAAACAATGACTTTGTGTGACTCGAACGCCGCTGCATTAATATTGCCTTCATGTACAAGTTTTCTCTAAGTTCTTAAACAAAAATGTAACATGTTGTCTTAAAAAAATATCCCTTTTTTTTCTCTTATGTGCTCTTTTAGGACAATTAAGTTTAAGAAACAAAAATTAAGTTATTTAAGTTACAACTGTTTGCTTACGTTTGTACCCTCATAAACAACAGTAACTATGACAAGAATCCCAGCTGTAATGAATGTGACTCAACTGGTTGGCCTAAAAATATCTGACACTGATTAAAGACCAAGGCTGTGGACAGTGTTTAATGTCAGTAAAGACATTTGAAGTGAGTGTATGTTTTATTATTTTGGAATACAGTATACCTATGTGTTTAATGCTGCCATACCCTGTAATATTTATGAATCTGATACTACCTGTATAGTAGTTAGAAATGACAGATTGAGTAATTGTTGTTGTATATTTTAAGTGACCAGAATTGATAGGAATACATTATTTTATATCTATTCCTGCTAACATCTGTGGATTCTGATGCTACTTGGAATATTAGGTTAGGAGGGCCAGTGAAAATATGAACCTCCAAGCTAAATTTCATTAGGGTTAGTTATTTAACATACATTATACAATCTGCTTGTCCAATGAATTACAGATGTAAGGTGATTACCAGCACCTTATTCATCCTTTTTAAAACACTTTTTCTTCTTTTTATTGTTGAGCTTTCTAATTCACTATTTCTTTAGTTCTCATCATTTTCACTATCTATTTCGTATGGTCAATTCTCTTTTTTATTATATTCTCTTGTATTTTGTAAAGCACATTGTAATCTTGATAAGGTGAGTATTTTAACAAAAAGTGTATTATAGTATTAAGTAGCGACACCGCAGGTAAATGCGATGACAACAAGCAACTGTCAAACAGTTTGACCCCACCTCCACCTTTTGACAGGTGTTTTCAGAGTGGAGAAATTGACAAACTGCAGTACCTCTTTGCTGAGGTCATCATTGCCATCCCTGCTGCCCGGTTGCTCCTGGTTGCCCTCAGGGGCCACGGCTCCCAGGCTGCTGTCCTCTGCGTTCAGGTTGTACGTGGATTCAGTTCCTACACTTCCTCCCCTCATGGCCGGGGTAGCGTCAGGGTTGTTAACGTCCTCTAGGCCGCCCCCATTGTCCAGGGTGATACTGGGGCTGGGCTGGCTGCTGGTGGACACCACAGTCTCAGAGTCACGATGCACAAGCCAGGTGGTGAGCTCGGTACTGGGGACGGAGAGGCGGTCCAGCTGGCGCACCTGGTTCAGCAGCCGCCGAGTGGTAAAGAATTGGTCGAGGTCCACACTCTTTGGATGGATGCCATAGCCGTCCAGCGTGTTGCGGAGGTTGTGGAACTGTGTCTGAGTGTAGGCTGAGCTAGGGCCCAGGATGATCTCTCTCAGAGGGGGCAGCTGATTGCTTAGATAGCTGTCAACGTCCACCCGCACCCCAATGAGACTCAGGAGGATGGTGAACTGAATCAGGCCCTCTGTGAAGTATTTTTTCAGGTAAAGCATTTCTTTACAAAGGAACAAAAAGGTGAAAGTAAAAAACAAAAACAAAAACGGGGAGCGTGGATTACTACTTCTGTACTTGTGCTAGAAGACAGAGAGAGATACATGAACGTAAAAAAAAGTGGTTAAATATAGTTAGGGGGGGGGAAAGGGGTGTCTTCAACAGGATTCAGTATGTTTAAAAAGGCATGTAAGATCCAGGAGGAGTTTCCACTGTCAGAGAGTCCAGTTGGTGCTCAAAGCTTTGTTCTTCATAGGGTTCCCATTCCTGACAAAAGTGAGAAATAACATTTTATTCTCTCAATAGAAACTACATAGTACAACATTATAAACACACTGCTTTCAGCTGTATGACAGACAAATCTTACCTTCCTACATTTGTATTAAGCACATGTTAATGACAAATACATTACAACAAATCAGGACTTGCTAGCCCACAGCAACCACTCCATCCTCCCAAGACTCGCACCGCGCAATGGCCTTTCCTTTTTCTTTTTCTTTAAATTCAGAGGATCAGAGATGGTGAACACAGAGCTTAAGGCAGCATCACCCCACCCTTGCACAGGACAACTACTTCTCGTGGTGCTGCTGAAGGTGAATGGGAGAGTCGAGGAGGCTTTCTAGGCTGGCTAGCACCAACGACAGCGTTCGGTAGCAGGCAGGGTCCCTCCCTCTTCTCCTATCTTCGTCCTTATGACGTTAGCTGTTAGCTACCCTGTGTTTTGACACCCGACTACTGCTATTACACATGTATAACCATCTTATTACATATCATGAAGTAGAAATAATATTTCATTTCGCCACATCTAGTAAGCTCGCATCTTTGTTTACCTTGAAAAAGTGACAGGTACCTCTACTGGTCTCTTTGCTAGCATCAAACAATCTCCCTAGCAACAAGTGGTGAAAAGATGATTGACAGATTGCACAGCCTTTCTCGGGCCAAAAGTGCGGTGACGACACATGACTCCAGAACACCCCGGCCAATAGGAATGGCACACGGGTGGGGCTTAAAGAAACAGCTGAACTACTATTGGAACTACACTGTGCTAGCCTTGAAAGCTAGTTGGCTGCTAACTACCATTTGAGTACTTTCAAAAGTAACTTATGTATTAAACAACACACGCCACAGTATCCAGTCATTCACATAAATACTACCTATTCATCCATGTGTCTGCTAACGTCACATCATGCTCATGAATCAGTGCAATCAATGTTTCGGTTTACGCATTATTAGTTGATTGATTTAATACTCACGCATGAAGATTGGGTAACTGTGTCTTCATGCCCAAAAGTCCACTACCACCTAAGAGCAGAATTTGATCGCTGTTTTATTAAAAGCTCCACAGTGTTGCCCGATCTCCAGCCTTTGCTCATTGAATGGCCCACCATGACTTGCAGAAATGCTAGCTGGCCCGGCTAGCCTAGCATTGAGCGCCGCTTGACACCAAAACACGCTTTCAAACAGAGCATGCGCAGAACATTCTAGTAGAAAGCTTTCATCAGCCCACTAATATTACACACATTTGCATCACCATTATCCCATTTTAAAATATATTACGTGGCAAAGACGAGCTTATTAAAAATGTGTTTTTCTTCCAAAGTATATTTAGAAAAATATATCACACGATAGATATTTTTTATGATTCTGTAAGAACGGTGAAGTATTTAGATATTAGATATTTTCAACAATAGCTCCACCCTTACCAGCTTTAACTTTAAAGTGATGTTCAAATTAATGCATCAATATGTATAGTCCAACATGTATTATCCAGAAATGGGCTATTATGCATAAAGTAATCCAGTACTTTAAGTATATTTTGATGCCAATAGTTTGTTACTAAAATAGTCTAACTTTTTATGTTTTATATTATTAATGTTAATCTTCAAAGGAACTTTAAATAATCAGTGGAGTAAGGTACAAAATATGGCTCTGAGATGTGGTAAAGTTTAAAATAGCATAACAATAAATGTAAATACATGTAAACACCTCAAAATCGTACTATAATTAATGTGATTAATTATTTTCCACCACTTAGCACAAAATAACATTTTGTTTGAAAGATTTCCATCCACAAGTTTTCTTCATGTTTTTTCATAAATAATGAATGATCCATTACTTTATTAATTTGTTCAGTGTTAAACCAGACATTGTAAAGAATCCACACAAGACGTAATAAATTACAATTAAATACCACTTTTATTTCTGAGAATAGATCATGACAAAAGATTTTTAGTAAATGTCACAACGTCCACTATATATTAACCCCCATTAGGTTGACAGGCCGGTTGTTGTATCGGTTTGAAATGTCTGCTTCAATCTGTAAAAGACACAAATCAGAATTAATGACGACAATACTCATTATTACAGTATATGTCAAGATAGATCTAATGATCCAGTGATGTGGGTGGGGAGAAAAACCCTACAGCACTTTCTCTTTCTAGTGAACTGAAGTGTGAACATAAAAATAAACTGAAAGTGTAATCCAATACCATTTTCTGGAGTTCCCGGGTGCGTCCTGCCAGCAGGTCGACACGAGGCTCCAGCCTGGACTGCTCCTCCAGAGCTTCCTGTCTCCTCTCAACCATTGAGGCAGCTTTCAGGACCAGGATGTCTGCCTGCTTCAGCTTCTGCCTCAGCACCTCTGACACACGCTCAACATACCTAAACAACACATTTCAGATGTAAGAAAAATGAGAAGGTGTTGATTTATGCTGACTGAAGCAGATGCTATGGGGCTCAGCGTACCGTGGCGAGGCCTGGATCATGAACAGGTGCTGCATCCGGAGCGAGGTGAGGCGGCCCAGGAGGTCCCGCACCTCTGACAGCATCCCCCGCACGTGTTCACGGGATTGAGCTTGGATGACAGAAGGGGCCATCTGGAACTGGCTCATGGCCACCACATCTCCCTCCTCTCCCATCTCACTTATGCGCTGGGTTAAAAACACTTCCAGCTGTACAAACACATGAAACCAGTATCACATGTTGGGGCTAAATCTGTCAGATGACCTAATCCAAATTTATTTTCCTTTCAGTTTATTATTTGAATTTGTTTCCTTTATTTTTGATCACCCAAGGCCATGTTTTTTTAATCATTATTTTTAGTTTGTTACTTTTACAGCATTATTCCTCTTTTAAGCTTTATACAATATAATGATTGAACTCAAAAGTAGTACATGGGGTGTTTTTGCGATTAAGAAATACACAATTTCAAATAAGAAAAAGGGCAAATTGTATTTCCCCAAGGCTCTTAGCGATGGTGATTCTTTCCAAAATGTCATAAATTATATTATTCCAGTTCTCTATAGATGGGTTTTACGTCTTAAGCCATTTATAAGATAAGATGTGATCCCAAATTGGTAAATGTTTGCGTTGCAGCAGCATAAAAAACAAAGCATTGCACATAAGTAGAAATTAAAAGAGTAGAAATGAAAAATTCAAAAATGTAAACATCTCAAAATAGAAATAAAACAGCATTTAAAAGTAGAAAATATACAAGTTGACGTGAAATAAAAAATCTATAAAAATCTGACAAATAAAATGCTATTGAAGGGTCAATTTCTTTAAATCATGATTCTAAAAGCAAGGCTCATTATTCCAAATATGTGATTTTTTTATATTTGCAGATGTTAAAAGTAAATCAGGGGATTCACGGTTGTTGAAGAGTTATTTAACACTAGATGGCAGCAGTCTTTACCTCCGTGAGCTCATCAATGAACACGCTGCGTGACTGAGAGTTCTCCAGGATAGTCAGAGCATCCTCACCTCGTGCCACACCCTCAGGACCTGCAAGTTAACAAACATTATTTTAGCAAACAGAAATGTTAACAGCTGAGCAATAATGGTGATTTATAAAGGGAAAAGTAGTTACAGTCTGTGCCTGCATCAACAATTTCAATTTCAATGGGAGCTGCTTCACTGTCACCCCAGTCAATGCCACCAGTGTCCTGTTAAAGGGAGGCAGGTACAAGTTGTTATATTAGAGCAGAAGTTCCAAAAGCAAAATGTTCCAAATGTGTTCTTTTTAATTGCTTTTAAAAACAACACCATTAGGCTTTTAAGTGTATATTTGTTGAATTGTCAAAGTTGGGATCAGTTTAGAACAAATGTCTTTCCATTTAATACTACTATGGAATATCCCCCTCCAATCTTCCTCTACCTGCCATCCTGGAGGGGCGGAGCTAAGTAATCTAAAGGCAGCCAGCTCACCTGTGGCAAATCCTTTCCTGAACAAAGAAGCCTCATGTGGAAGCCTCACACCAACTGTTTCTCTGCGTAAATGATCTGTGAGTTTCCTTTGCTATAAATGGTATTAATTTAACAGCTTACGTAGTTTATATCCTTGTTTGCTGAACTATTTAAATTGCACTTGTTTAAGTTAGTTCTACATTCTTATGCCTAATTATGCTCAGATGACTGCCTTTGCTGAAATATATTTTGAATTATTATTATGATGTGTAATCTCAATGTGATTTGTAACCCCCCCCCCTTTTCAGATCAATCAACAAACGATAATAAAGAGACAATTAAAGATGGATCTGGACTTCTGTATATGCACATCTTCAATCCTTCAACCAAACTATCCATACCTAAGATAAATGAACTTCAACTTCATTTATACGGTATTTTCTTTTTTTTACTTGTATTCTTCTATAATTCTGCATTTTAACACACTTAATAGCAGATCCTATATATGAAGTATTATTATTTACTCTGGTATGTATTGTAGTATAATACATTTTTTTTTTATACTTATTTATTTTTTGTTATTTATCTAGAATGAGAGTTCATGTATTTCCCAATAGTATCAATTGCATAGTTTTAGCTAGATTAATTACATTACAGAATGTAAACCACATTAATATTTTCTATCTGTAGAAAATGTTCTACATTCAAATGAATATGTACATGTTAACATAGGGCTGTGCAATTAATCGTATTTTAATCTCGATTACGATTTTGGCTTGCAACGATTACGAAAACAATGTAATCGAAATAAAACTATTATTATTTTTATTTTTATGTTGAATTATACTTAAAATTCAGGGTAATCAACTGTTAAAAACATACTGTTCACATTTTTTTTTCAATATATGGATGTTTTCAAAGTAAATGGATAATCGTTTTTAATAATTGTGATATCAATTATTGACCAAAATAATCGTGAATATGATTTTTGCCATAATCGCACAGCCCTATGTTAACATTTGAGTAACATAATGCATATGATAAAATTAGTACTGTATATTTAAAATGCAGATATGTTACCTCAGCGCTGGTCTCCAGACTGATGCCATAGTCGGCTCCATCCTCCACTGTGATGGCGGAGGTAACACCCAGAGTGTCTGCACCACTGCCAAAGTTACCCCAGTCAATCTGAAGCGGATTTTCAAAGACCATACAGAAACATTTAAGTCAGCAGTGAGGCAAATGAATGGTGAATTAAAACAAACGTACACTTATTTAATAGATTATGTTATTTGTTGAATATCTTGCAGTAGGAGAGAGCTGCCCCAAGAGAAAGGACTCTGCGATTAAGTTTGACCACCCTCATTATGTAGGTGGTAATAGAAGTTTCTATTATGTACAGTTGAGGCCAAAATTATTAGTCCCCCAGGAGTTATGGAACATTTTCCTAAAATCCTTCCC